GCCAAGTCCAACATATATATAAGAAATCCTTGCAAAACATTGTGTTTGACAGTGTTTTCCCAGTGTTTCCAGTCAAACAGACGGTAATTTACACGTTTTTTGCCATAAAAATCCTTCCAAAACATAGTTTTTGACAGTGTTTTTGTAATGTTTCCAGTCCAGCATACGGTAATTGACACGTTTTTTCGCTCTAACGTCAGTCCAAAACACTTGTTTTTGCAGTGTTTTCAATGCTCTGGCATCCAAAAACCCTGCAAAATCTTGCTATGTACAATGTTTTTTTCATTTTTGGCCGTTTTTCCCTTGCCGGAAAGCTACCAAACTGACCCAAAATTCCGTTTCAATACCCTCTTGGGCTCAGACACCCAAAAATCCTCGAAAAATGTCGAAAACACAACCGAATTCTGGTCTCGGTGCGAAACCGTTTTTGGGGTCTGGTCTCGGTGCGAAACCGTTTTTGGGGAATAAGCACGCCGTGTTTTTACGCTTTTGTCGCCAGAAAACCGGTCGAAAACATCATGTTCGACAATGCTTCCAATTCCCTTATCTCCCCAACCGTTGAAAATACCGCTATTTACAGTGTTTTCTTCAATTTTTCCATGTTCCAATGCCGGTAGCCAAGTCCAACATATATATAAGAAATCCTTGCAAAACATTGTGTTTGACAGTGTTTTTCCAGTGTTTCCAGTCAAACAGACGGTAATTTACACGTTTTTTGCCATAAAAATCCTTCCAAAACATTGCTTTTGACAGTGTTTTTGTAATGTTTCCAGTCAAGCATACGGTAATTTACACGTTTTTTGCTATAACGTCAGTCCAAAACACTTGTTTTTGCAGTGTTTTCAATGCTCTGGCATCCAAAAACCCTGCAAAATCTTGCTATGTACAATGTTTTTTTCATTTTTGGCCGTTTTTCCATTGCCGGAAAGCTACCAAAATGACCCAAAATTCCATTTCAATACCCTCTTGCGCTCAGACACCCAAAAATCCTCGAAAAATGTCGAAAACACCACCGTATTCTGGTCTCGGTGCGAAACCGTTTTTGGGGTCTGGTCTCGGTGCGAAACCGTTTTTGCCCCCCCCCCCAGCTAAAGCTGATATAGCGACTGCTATATTAACAAATGTCATTGAGCATTTAGTGTTGCTGTTGCCCCCCAATAAGCACGCCTTCACCGCCAAAGCGGTGTGGGCGGATTTACAGTGTTTTTTTAACCAACGTCAAAAAACACTGGTATTTACGATGTTTTCATTCACACCGTAACATAAAACAGCGTAATTTACGAGGTTTTTGGAAGTTTTGAAGCTAGCCGTCAAGCATGCAGAAAACAGAAAAACACTGTAAAAACCAGTGTTTCTGCTATCACAAAACGACGAAAATCAGTCCGAAAACGGGTCCAAAAACTCAAAAATCCGCCTCCGGGCCAGGCCACCTGCGGAACCGCAAAAAAAGATGTTGCAAACCAAAAAATTGAGGTCAAAAAGTTGAAAAACACGGGGTTTTTTCACTTTTCGCTTGCCGATTTTGGACGGGCGCGTTCACGAACAGGTGTCTTCCGTACTGTTTTTTACAGTGTTTTTTGAAGGCGAGCGTCACGACCTATCAAAAACAGGAGGTTTTGGCCGAAAAATGCCCCCCCCCCCAGGTAAACCTGTAACCTTTTACGAGTGCCATCCGGACGATCACGCCCCAGCACCTTCGGTGCGGGCGGATTTCTTATTCCACACTGCATTATGAGACCATTGGGGTGCCTTGCGATTGATCTCGACCAGGTCTCTCTTCAGGTCGTATTCCCCAAGCAAATTGTCAAGCTCCTGTAAGGTGGTGCCTCGATGGGCGCAGTTCTGTCGGACAGCTCCATCAATATGCAGTGGCCAGCCTACTGGCATGTGTGATTGTTCGAGAAGTCCATCGCCATTTTGTTCAATGATTGTGCCAAGCATTGGTACATCAATTGTTACTTTCAAGCTGATTTGCGTTCGTTTGCAGCTCCATGTATCCGGAGCGAGCAAACCCCGTTTGGCAAGTTCTGCTAGCGCTGGGAACTCAGGCTGCTCTTTAAGGGGCAATGCTTCCTCTTTGATGACCAGCTTCAGGCCATGCATCGGTTCAGGCTGTTCTTGTCCGGCTTGAGATGTAGGCTCCCTGGAGGTTACTATATCCTCAAACCAGGTGGGGCGAACCGATTTGACCCCTATCGCGTTGTCGGAGTTAGTATTTTTAATACTTTCCCTGCGCAGGCTGTGATACATGGGAGGAATCATCCATGCTGGGACAAAAACGGTGATGAACTGGACGTTCCATGCTACCTGGAAATCCTTGGGCTTGAAATCAGGTGTTGCAGCCCCCCCTTGTATGAAGAGATGACGTGTCCAACCCATTGGTCCGCGGGATCTGGTGCCCCAAAAGCTCAATTTAAATTTGACTCTGGATCCTTTTGGGAGGGACGGCAAAACACAGCCTGCCCATCTTAGAAACCCATTAGCTGGCACTTTTCATGTTGATGGTGATTTTTGCGAGGGCCATGGGTCCAGGAGCACTTCTTGAAGTGACTCTGGCGGTAGTTCTCGGGGGAGGGCTGCAGAGTCTTTTGAGCATACTTCTTGGCAAAGGGACCTTTGCTGCGTGTTGCATGCTCTTGGCAGCTTGCAGGCTTGTTGGATCAGAGGGCCATGTTTTGAGCTTTTCCGGACCCAGAATTGGGTCTCTCGGAGCAAGCTGTTTTGTAGATGATTTTGTTTCTTGTTGGGGCAAGCGGGGTGCATATCGGTTGCTGCTTGAACCCAGTTGAAGGTAGCTTTTTATGATTTCGTTTCGTCTGGTGGCTTGATTGTTTGCTGCTAAAGAAGGCGCAGCAGCCTTTTGCAGCGTTAGGTGATTGCTTTAAGTGTTTCTTGCTGTTGCGGAGTTTGTAGGTTTTCGCGCAGGCGGTCGGCTTCCATTTGAATGATTGTATTGAATACTTTACTGCCCCCTTGTTGGCCCCCCTTGCCCCTCTAGACTCCTACCGAAGTTTTCAGCCCAGAAAGAACATGAATCATGAATTATGATTTTTTCAGTCAATCCCGTTATAATTAATAGTATTAATTTAAAACGGGATGGAGTAAGAATCTGCTTAGGGAAAGATGTGGAAAGGTGAAGTCTTGAAGGCTTTCTTACTCCGCCATCGTTTCGATATCGTGTCAATTACATTGGGTAATTGAATTAAAACATACCACGGAGTAGCGGAGTAGCGCGGAGTAGCGCGGAGTAGCGACGGATTGGTGAATGTTGCCTGGGTGGTGCTGCATTGCAATCGCCGCATTGGAGCTAGGGAACGGAGACAGCTGATACCTGATACCACATGTGCGCTTACAGGTTCCATTTCTGGGGCCGGAAAGTCAATTGAAATCAGGCTTCGCATGTGCGGGCCTCCTCTGTTCCAACTCTATATGCTTGCTGCTTAACTAAACGCAGTTGTCATTTTTTGTTTGTTGCACGGGTCGGCCTTTGCTGTTGATTTTGCGATTTTGCGGTCTCATTTTTGGTACCGCCAGACGGTCCCAAAAATGGGACCGTGAAAGTGCTTTTCTTCTGTTCTTTTACTAAGCTGTGCATGCGGTCCCAAAAATGGGACCGCCAGGCGGTCCCATTTTTGGGACCGTGTTTAGGTTCATTTTTTGAAGTTTTTTGTATCAAGGTTGCAGAAGCGCAACGTTTTGGTTTCAATGAAGCTTTGTGGCTTATGGCGACCGGAAGGGCAACTGTAGGCGGCCTTTCTCGGTGCTTGACCCATCTTCAGCTTGGTTCTTAATTGCGCAAGCCAGTATGTCTCTTGCTTGCTCCTCTCGTGCTTTGGCTTCGTTAGTCCTCGGTGACGAAGGGAGAGACGATTATTGTGAGAGACTTAGACTTGTAAACCCAACGGTGATGCGGCCCAGGCAGTCTGTTCCGTGTCTTCCATGTGGCAGAAATCGTCCGTTCAAGCCTGGAAATTGAAACAAAACAATGTGACAAAGAAGGCCTTTTTGGTTCTCAAAACGTAAGTCCATTTTCTGACTCCTTTTTAAACACGTTTCCTTTGCAGGGAGTCCAAAACTGGACCCTTAACAGATTGAATCCGGTGCCTCCTGGGAGGTCCGCTTTTGAGCCCACCCAAGCATCTTCTTCAGCGGTTGGCAATCAAGCCACGGACGACAGCGCTGCGGATGCAGCATCTGCTTAAGAGTCTTACGATGACTCGTGCACTTACTGTTGTGCTTGCACGATATTTCACCTTTATGGTTTCAGGTTTGTCCACATCTTACTCACATAACGTGTTGGCTGATGAATTGATTCGCTTCACTGTGCCATTGTCTACACTGGATCCAATTGCGCAACTGACGATCCCATGGCGAGACCTACTGTGCTCTTCAGGCATTCAAGTGACCCAAGTCGGTCGAAAATGGCCGTCCAACTTTGCCATTCGACTGCGAGAAAAATATTGCTGTAGTCCGCTGACTGGGTGCCTCCATCGATTAGTCCTTGGGGAGTTCTTACTCCGACTGGTCGATTGTCGATATGTTTGGTGCTCTGGGAACTCCCCACCTAAAAAGTATCGATCCTAACACACCCCGGCATTTGGGTTGTTTGATGGGTTTGGTACCTGCTGGTTGATCGGTTTGACCTAAACATTGTACCACGCCTTATTAAGTTTATGCACTCTTGCGGCAGCCTTTTTCATGTTGCATGTCAACTCTAGAAACTGAAGCAGCGGAAACCATTGCGTGAACGTGTCATGTTGAACAAAGTTTACCCAACCATACATGTGCCTATACATACATGTACTTGCTGTCATTTTGGTGTTGCATAGCATAGCCATTGAAACCTTTGGCAGCTTGTCAGTTCATGTGCAAAGACATATACGTTGAGGCGTTTCTTGATCGAGCAAAATCAGCATGGTAGCGGAGCCCGATGACCCAGCAGTAGCTGGTGAGGGCATCCTTTTAGATATAGCTTAGGGTGTTAGCCTAGCGTTGGACGTATGGCATCCCTTAGTGCTGACAATGTTGCACAGTTGGTGCAAGCTGCAACTGACGCTGCGAAGGCAGCCAGTGAAGCTGTTTTGGCCATGAAGGAGCAGCAGACTGCTCGAGCTGGACTTAGTGATGGTTTCAAAGAGGCCTCTAAGGTGATCCGTCAACCAGAGCCTTTTGGGTCTGAAGTTCATGAAGAGGACTTAGGACGATGGCAGGATTTCAATGTGAATTTCCGTGCTTGGCTTTTCTATGGCAACAAGCACTTCGAGGGTGACCTGCATAGGATAGAATCTGTGCATGGAGATATCCCCATACCTAGCGTTGATGGAGAAGCCCCAGAAGTTCAGGACAGATGCAGCCAATTATACAGCATACTCACTGGTTTGCTTCGTGGAAAACCACTGCGCATGCTCAGACAAGTTGAACGCAGGAATGGATTTGAGGTTTGGCGTCAGCTTAGCCAGATGTTCCAGCCCAAGACCAAGAGCCGAGCCATTTCCATTCTCTCTGCACTTGTCAATGTTCCCAACTTCGTGATGAAGGACAGGACTTTGCTTGACCAAATACTTGGCCTTGAAAGACTTAGAGCTGAATATGTCAGAGCCAGTGGAAGTGACATTGCCGATGACGTGATGCTTTCTGTACTGGTTAGAGCGCTGCCTAAGGCACTGCAACAGCATGTTCAACTTCAAATGTCAGAGACCTCCTCCTATGACCAAGTGCGCGCCATGGTGATCTCCTACGAGCGCACCACGACAAGCTGGAGTGCAGGCAAGATCCATAGCGAGCTGGGCATTTTGTCCTCAGGCCCGTCTTCAAACGTTGTTTCAAATAATGGCGTGGCCCCTATGGAGATAGATCGTGTTAAAAAGGGAAAACAAAAGGGTAAATCAAAGGGAAAGTCCAAAGATAAGGGTAGCCCCAAGGGTAAAGGTAAAGGTAAGAATGAAAAGGGTAAAGGGAAATCATCCCAGCCATCTCAGAGAGCTGCAACTGCGAATGACCAATGCCTTCACTGCGGCCGCTACGGCCATTTCAAGCGTGACTGCTGGAAGCTTCATGGAAAGCCAGACTCCAAGAAGGTGAACCAGGTTGAATCGCAGACTGCAACCTCCACTGCAACTTCTTCCAGTGGTGGTGGCCCTTCCATTTCGCCGCCTTCTACAGCAGCAGCCAGTTCAGTGCGTTTGTTTACAAGCCTTGACCACATGCATGGACCTTTGATCGAAGATTTAGACGATTTGGAAGTTTGTGACCTGACAATGCATGATTCAAGTGGCTTTTGCAACATGGTTTCACAGATGCATGATGGACTTGACACTCTGGACTCAACATGCGATGGTGTATACATGGAGTGCTGCGAGTGTTTTGACATGTCGTATTCAGATAGTGACAGTAACTGGACCATTTGTGATTTTTCAGATGACACTGCTTTGCAAATTTTTTCAGATGACATTGCTTTGCAACCTTTTCTGGCATTTGTGAAAGAGATGGTGAACCATTTTCAATCAGAGCAATTGGCCTTTCTGAGCCAAGAGACGTGGAGGTGGTGCTGGATTCTGGAGCTGATGGCTCTGTGCTGCCGTTGGAGTACGGCCACATTGGCCAGCCTGACCCTTCGTTTGATGGTTCTTCATTTGTTGATGCACAAGGTAAGCCTATTTGTATCAAAGATGCCAGGATTGCAGAAGTACGTTTCGGTTCTGTCATTTTCAAAGAGAGATTCATCATTGCTGCAGTGACCTCACCACTGATTTCCATGGGAAGGCTTTTGAAAGAAGGATGGTATTTGGAAAGGAACTCAGATGGCATGTTTTTGGCAAGAAACTCAAAACGTATTCCAGTGCATTTTCGAAGAAACTCACTTTGTGCAATGGGAGTGATACGCATGGTGACCAGTTCAGATACATCAATTTCTTCAGATTCCAGTCTTCCAGATATTCATGTACGAGCTTTGACATTGAGTTCAACTCTTTCTGGTTTGGCTTCAGGTTGGAATAGAATTGGTGTGGACACCTACGCCCTGCGAAGTATTTCTCCTCAGCATGTTGACACAACACTTTGTCCTCATGATTCTTTGCTTTGGTTGCGTACCACATTGATTCACTATGAGGACGGCACTTGGGATTTAGAAGAGTTCAGCCAAAGCATTTCAGAGCTCTCCACAATGGTGGCACCCTTTGACACCAACAAGCGAGTGACAGAAGTCATCACCATTGCCCATACCAGTGTTGTCCCTCCTGAGGCCCTTGGATTTGCAATGCAATCTGATGATGTTGTACCACGACAGCGTATGGAGGTGATAGCACCACGTTCAGGTATTCCTTTGCAAGCATCTGGATCTGCTGACAGGCCAATGGGCGTTGAACCAGCAGAGGAAGTTCCAGCTGCTGAAGATGCTGAGTTACCAGTCCCTGAAAGGGATGCAGGTCCAGAACCCAATGAGATCTTGATTGATGGCGTGAAGCTTGATTCAAACACCACTTTGAAAACTTTGCGTACGGCATGTGAGAGTCTAGGACTAGCCACTGGTGGGAGTAAGAAAACATGTTTGAAAAGACTTTGGGATCATCTTCAGGCGCAGGAGATGATAGCTGCACATGGTGCAAAGACCCAACTACAGGCTGAGCTGCAGAGGCCAGTTCATGCACAACCAGTTCCGACAGATCCCACTGACAAAGAGCGTGCAGATCACATGCTTACACATCAACCTTATGCTGCTTGGTGTGAGCTTTGCGTTGCAAACAAAGCTGTTCAAGATCAACATCCCCAGCGTGTTGAGGCCAGTGGAGACCACTCATGCGTGAGCTTTGACTTTGGCTACGCTTCGAGGTTTGATGGTGAGACTAAGGCTTGTGGACTTTTCATACATGACCGTGACACAGGAGCAATGCATGTGATCCCAACTCCTCAGAAAGGAGGCAAACACTTGGCTTATTCACCCCGCTTCGCGTGGGGTGGCCGCCCACACCGCAGGTTTATTTCGGTCCGTGAGAGGGGCTCAGGGTGGTTTTCCCCCGTGGGGCTCCCCAAGCTAAGAATTTTCACTTTCCCCCCCCGTAGGGGCTCCCCAAGCTAGGGAATTTTCACTTTTCCCCCCCGTGGGGGCTCCCCAAGCTAGGGAATTTTCACTTTTCCCCCCCGTGGGGGCTCCCCAAGCTAGGGAATTTTCACTTTTCCCCCCCGTGGGGGCTCCCCAAGCTAGGGAATTTTCACTTTTCCCCCCGTGGGGGCTCCCCAAGCTAGGGAATTTTCACTTTTCCCCCCCGTGGGGGCTCCCCAAGCTAGGGAATTTTCACTTTTCCCCCCCGTGGGGGCTTCCCAAGCTAGGGAATTTTCACTTTTCCCCGCCGTGACAGCTTCCCAAGCTATGGAATTTTCACTTTTCTCTCCCTTGGAGGCTCTCCAAGCTGCGGAATTTCAAATAGCTAGACAACGACGCCTAGATAGTCCCCCAAATCCCGTGTTCTTTGAATGTGTTTCCATGTTTTTGCAATGGTTTCCTTCAAAGCACGGTACTTTACACTTTTGTCGCCATAAAACCGGTCGAAAACATCATGTTCGACAATGCTTCCAATTCCCTTATCTCCCCAACCGTTGAAAATACCGCTATTTACAGTGTTTTCTTCAATTTTTCCATGTGCCAATGCCGGTAGCCAACTCCAACATATATATAAAAATCCTTCCAAAACATTGTTTTTGACAGTGTTTTTCCAATGTTTCCAGTCAAACAGACGGTAATTTACACGTTTTTTGCCATAAAGGCAGTAAATCCTTCCAAAACATTGCTTTTGACAGTGTTTTTGTAATGTTTCCAGTCAAGCATACGGTAATTTACACGTTTTTTGCTATAACGTCAGTCCAAAACACTTGTTTTTGCAGTGTTTTCAATGCTCTGGCATCCAAAAACCCTGCAAAATCTTGCTATGTACAATGTTTTTTTCATTTTTGGCCGTTTTTCCATTGCCGGAAAGCTACCAAAATGACCCAAAATTCCATTTCAATACCCTCTTGCGCTCAGACACCCAAAAATCCTCGAAAAATGTCGAAAACACCACCGTATTCTGGTCTCGGTGCGAAACCGTTTTTGGCCCCCCCCCCCAGCTAAAGCTGATATAGCGACTGCTATATTAACAAATGTCATTGAGCATTTAGTGTTGCTGTTGCCCCCCAATAAGCACGCCTTCACCGCCAAAGCGGTGTGGGCGGATTTATGCACTGAGTTTTGCAGGTTTATTACATGGTTGGGGCATAGCACAATTTCTTTGAAATGCGATCAGGAACCGGCTACGCTTTCTGTTTTGGAAGCTGTGCGTAAGACCTGCCGTGCCCTTGGTATCAAAACCCATGTTGAGACAGTTGCACCAGGATCTCATGCTTCAAATGGTGGAGCTGAAGTGACAGTTAAAGTCTTGAGGCAGAATGCCAATGTGCTGATACAGCAACTTGAGCAAGGCTGTGGAATCTCGGATGTGATTGGGTGTCATCACCCACTATACCAATGGAGTCTTCTTCACAGTGCATGGGTTCACAACAGATTTGTTGTGCGCCAAGGCCTGACCCCATACGAGATTTGCTCTGGCCGTTCCTACAATGGCAGACTTGCGCTTTTTGGTGAGAGTGTGCTTGGCTTTCTGAAGGTGTCTACAAAGGGCGCCCCTCAATGGACGAAAGGTGTTTGGCTTGGCAAGACCAGCTCAAATGATGTTCACATAATAGCTGTGCCAGGTCATCCAAGACTGTTTGTCACTCGAAGTGTGCGAAGGTTCCCAAAACCTTGGGATGGTGAAATGGTGGCCAATATGGAGGCGACCCCATGGCAGTTTGGCTATGCGTCGCTTGGCTCTCAGCTTGTTTTGGCAAAAAGGATATCATCCCCAGCACCTTTGTCTTTACCACAAGTTCCACCACGTGATCTTGATGTAGAGGCTGTCATGGGAGTTCCACCTACTCCTGATGAACATGCTGACGACGATGTTGGCCCAGTCCCTGCCACACCAGCCATGCCACGTGTTTTAGCTCCTCCTTCTACAAGTGTTTCTGTTCCTGCAAGGCGTGAACCTGATGATGACATGGAGGTGTCAGCTGAGGCGGGGATCACTGCAGAACATGGTACAAGTGCACCGGTGACTCCACCAGTTGAAGGAGCTACTAGCTCAACAGTTTCTGCAGGCGGTGCTGCAGATGTTTCTGTTCATGGAACACATGTACACCAAAGAGACGATGTGGACGAAGGTGGTGACAGCAGGCCATCTAAGCAGCCAAGACTTTTACGCTTTTGTGAACATGAGGAAAATAGTCATGTTACCCATTTCGAGTCTGATGAGTTGGATGCACTAGAGGTGTATGAGTTTGAGTTGGACGATGATGAGGACGACAGTGAAGAGCCTCAGCTTAGCTCTTCAACTTGCAGTGACGATGTTTTGAAGCTTTTGACTGTGCCCTTTACGACTTTAGAGCCTGACATTAGCGGTGAACAACTCCTTCGACTTGACATGCTTGCCGACAGGGTGGAGATCGAGCGTTTGAAAAGTATGCAGGTTCTTCTACCTGTGGAGACCTATGACTGCAAAGGTCAGACCCCCAAACGTTTGACCACTCGAATGGTTAGAACCTGGAGAGACAAGCATATCCAAGGTCAACATGTGTGGCTTCGAAGGTCACGATACGTGGCACGGGAGTTTGCTTGGCTTTCACCAGATCGCCAAGATCTGTTTTCTCCAGCAAGTTCAGTCCTCACAGTTCGTCTTCTCCCAACACTATATATGAAATGGAAGCTCTCCAACTATATACTATGTGCCATAGATATAGCAGACGCTTTCCTGATGGTTGAACAGAAAGAGCTTACTCAGGTTACTTGCGAAGATGCTGCAGGTCAAACAACAGAGTTTATGCTGGGCAGAGTGTTGCCTGGACAAAGGAATGGATCTCAGCTTTGGCATGAATGTTTCAGCAATTTGCTAAAGTCAGAACTTGGCTTTGTTGAATGCGAAGCCTACCCTTGCTTGTTGAGGACAGCTGGATCCGAATGTTTGCTGATGCTTCACGTGGACGATGTCCTGTGCCTCAGCAACAAAGACTACTTGGAGTGTGTCTTGCTGCCTGCGTTGAAAGCAAAGTTTAAGATCTCCTGTGAGAAGGTTGAGAACCCGGGAGATGAATTGACCTTCTTGAAGAGGAGGCACATGCTTTTGTCTGAGAACGAGTTGGCTGTGCAAAGCCATCCAAAGCACTTGGAACGTTTGTTTGACTTGATGCATATCAACAGAAACCTCAAGCCCAAAAGAACGCCAGGCCATCCTATGTTGGATGAACCAGATGATACTGCAGAGCTTGGACCCAGTGATGCGAGCACATACAGGTCTTGCGTGGGAGTGCTGTTATACATTGCAGCTGACTATGTTGAGTGCCAATATACAATTCGAGGTTTGTCTCAATGTATGGCCAAACCAACTGTCAGAGCCCTTGTATGTTTGCGGCATTTGTGCATGTATTTGCTTGGATGCATGGACCATTGCATCATGCTTTCATACCAGGCCCACCATGGGCTACTGCACTACAATGAGTTGGACTACACCTTGGAGGTGTACTCAGACAGCGATTGGGCCAAGCACAAGACCACAAGGAAAAGTGTTTCAGCAGGATGTTTGTTTTTGTTTGGCAACCTTCTTTACTCGACCTCCAGGAGTCAGAAAGCTTTGGCATTGAGTTCGGCTGAAGCCGAGATTTACTCTGCTGCAGGTGCTTGCTGCGATGGAGTGTTGATGTTCTACTGCCTTTCATTTGCAATTGGACCAGAACTGGAGGTGCGGTTTCAACTTTGTCTTGACAACTCAGCTGCTCGGGCATTCTTTTGCCGGTCAGGCGTGGGACGCATCAGGCATATTAGCCTGAGAATTCTGTGGGTTCAGGCAAAGGTGAAAGAACAGTTTTTACATGTTGGACGAGTTGGCACACATGACAATCCTTCAGACATTGGTACAAAACGACTGACCAGAGAACGTATGTTATACCTCATGTACCTCTGTAAGATATACGACCTTTCCTCCTCAAGTTTTGTTGGCTCCAATGCTGCAGAGAGTGTGAAACAGAAAGAAGTGATGAAACAAGGTGTCAAAGTGTTTACAAAACATGGAAGTTCTCCCCAAGAGTCAAAACGACTGATGAGAATCCTTTTGCTCAGCGCCTTGAGCCTCCCTGAATCGATGGCTATGGAGTTCAATGTCAGCACCGGTTCTTCCACCACTGCTTCTACGTTTTGGTGGCAGCTTCTTTGCATGGTGTTGATGACTGCTCTTTGCATTGCGCTTGGATGGATCTTCTACTTGCAGTGGCAGATCAATGCTTTGCAAGGCAAGTGCTCTAAGCTCTCGATCGACACCAAGCTCTACAAGGTGCTTGACTTGTTAAAAGGGTATAAAGACAAAATGTTAAGAAAACATGAAAGTGGGGAAGAAGAAAACCAAGAGAGTGACCCAATTGTTGAAAACCCTGACACGACGAGTGATGTCCATACTATGGCTTCTGGAGATGCCACTCGTGGCCTTGATCCTCAGACTGTTCAGCTGATGCGTGACACCAACTCCGTCTTGCGTGCCCGATATGATCGACTTGAAAGTCTTTATGAAGAAGCTGAAATTGTCCAAGATGAGGACGCCATGTACACCCTCCAGAACCAGATGGACGAAGTCATGCAACTGATGTATGACATTTGAGTTTTTTTAGCGAAAGAATCCATGCCCTTAGCTTGTGACATTAGAAGAATGTCTCATGGATTCGAACTGAAACTTTGGAAATCAACATTGGTCAAAAAGACCATGTTGAGGCAGGGTGAACAAAGTTTACCCAACCATACATGTGCCTATACATACATGTACTTGCTGTCATTTTGGTGTTGCATAGCATAGCCATTGAAACCTTTGGCAGCTTGTCAGTTCATGTGCAAAGACATATACGTTGAGGCGTTTCTTGATCGAGCAAAATCAGCACATGTACTTGTACAAAGGTGTTCATGCATAGGACCCGGAATATTCGTGTCTGGTCCGTGACCATTTTGCTTCAAGTTTCCGACGTTTTATCACGAAAGGTAGCGTCAGCTACCTGAGTTCTCCGTGTTTCAGCACAAGCATAGGGGGTATTGGGGCCAGCCCGTGCAAAATGTGAAATTCTCGACGTTATGTATTAGATATCAATTATAAGGGCCCCCCCCCTCTAAAATGGTCATGTGTTCAATTCCCACGGGTGACGCGGTCACGGTCCGCCACAGTAGAGGCACACTCGCACACTCTCCATGAGGGAGCTGTCCCTGTAGTCCAGCATAATTGGTTTGCTTCAGCCTCAATAACAGTTGCGGCAAGGGGTCTTAAAAAGGGGTTTTAAATAAACCCCTTTTCGTGCATCATTTCACGCTGCACAAGACACCGTATCATGCAGTCATGCTCTGGATAAAATCATCTTAGACTGCGCAAAAAAGTTTTTGGCGTATCATCTTAGGGGCGCAGCATTTTGACACCACTCCTCTCCCACTACACTACCTTTCGTCCGCCTCCGCCTGCTCTCAAGTTTCTTTTCCCACCACCATCCCCTATGTTCCACCGGTACGTGGCTTTTGAGGTGGTGCTCTGGGAACTCCCCACCTAAAAGTATCGATCCTAACACACCCGGGCATTTGGGTTGTTTGATCGGTTTGGTTGGGGGCGCTTGTTTTTAGGTCTTACTGTACAAACAGGACCCGCTGGTTCGTTGCAGTGTGTACAGGGCTGACCTAAACATTGTACCACGCCTTATTAAGTTTATGCACTCTTGCGGCAGCCTTTTTCATGTTGGATGTCAACTCTAGTGACTTTAGTGACTTTAGTGTTAACACATTTGGGGGAAACTGAAGCAACGGAAACCAGTGCGTGAACGAAAATGTACAAAACTGTTGACACATCTTATTTTAACACAGTGTTTTCTGTGAGTGCATTCAGGTTTGCTGGTTGTTTTTGTTTCTTGGGTAAAAACACGTGTGGGAGTCGGGTCATTTTTGTTTTCTTGTGTGTGGGCATGTCAACGCCTTCTTGTTCCATGGTTTGTCCGGCCTACCAAATATGTTTGTCGAAACATTCGAGGTGTTTTTTGATGATTTTCATTGTCATTGTTCATGTTTTTAAACTTGAACAGTACCCATGATCATGCCAAAATAATCAAAATTGTATTAGGTGATGGTTTTTTTTCAATTGTGTATGATGAAATATCTGTGTGGAAAACCCCATGTGCTGTGCTTGTGGGGCGATGTATTGTGTTCGTGTTGGTAGCCAGGACCAGGGTGGAATGATTGTGCAATTGATTTTGCCACATGTAACCCTAGCAACCAGCCTTATAAAATAGCATAGGTGCGAGTCGAGAGTTGCAACTAGTTGGCGGCGTTGATGTGAACATATTTTTGACGTTATGTAAAACTAAGGCGGATTCAAAATTCCGTGCGCATCTTTAAGGGGTTTTCCGTCTATGCAGTATGTGAATATATTTGATTGATTGTTGTGGGTTCGCAGCTGTGCATCTGGGAAATATCAAATTGCAAACGCAAAATGAAATTGACAGTTATCCTAACACATATTTTGTCATTTGTTTGTTGTCCAAACGTGTTTCATTTTTTGATCTGCAAGTTAGTATTTTGCAACATCATTGAAACACATGCAAACAAACAATCTAGATGTAAACATTTATGCATGAATTAATCCGATGTTGGATACATGGTTTTGTTGCTTCAAAAACCGACAATTTCGACCACTTCATTGTTTTGCGGCATATGATTTCCAATGTGTTTGCGTGAATTCCAAAAATTGATGCAAGCAACATTCAACCATTGTGACCAAAGTGTATTGTCAGCCATGGCTTTTGGACCCTTCGTGCGAATTGTAGTGCCTTTGCAGCATTGACATGGTTTTTGTTGGCTGCACGATCAAAGATCACTTTGACATATTTTGCGGATAGTTTGGTGTTCCCCACAGGCGCAGATCACCATGGTGGCTGGAGGTGCCATTGGTAGAGCAGCCTCGAACTCAGCATTGTATTTTGCCAGAGGATCCAGTGGTTGCATGTTGCCAAGTCAATTTCTTGAGTGGGCCAAAGGTCGTGGAAGCATACAAGGACAGTTTCTGGCGCAACACAAGGGTAACCTCCCGTAGAGATGTGGCATTGTTTATAGGGTGAGCCGAGTGTGGATGTCACACGTCAACTCTGCATCATGTGCGTGACTCGATTTTCCATGCATGAGTTGCAAACACCATGTAAACAAGGGTTTTGTTTTTCGCAGCTCGAGCAAAATATGGTTCGCCATGGCCACAGGAAGCTGCTGCTGGCAGAGGAGCTGCAGCAGCTGCGGCGCAGAAAGTGGCAAGAAGGCGCATGTCCTTGGACGAAGCGAGGAAGGCAAGGCATGGGTGGGCACGGTCACATGGTGCACGAACCCTGGTAAAAAAATGCAAAAATATGGAAACGCATGATATACACTACATCTACTATATGCATATAAATATAGAATTACTGTACATTATACTTTCATATACATTCGATATTCGAGACGATATATGAAGACTGTTCTAAATACATTACACATTGCATTGATTTTGTTTGCAATGCCAACGCCAGGTGTTGGATGCGGAAGGAAGTGTCACGCATACACAAGTGGAGGCTGATTCTTTTGAATTATTTGAACAAATGAAACAAAAACCTCGTTGTTTGTGCAATCAGGAACAAGTGTCAGCTTTACATTCCCATCGGATATATATAGTCAATTGCACGCTGATGCGAACCTGTGATTTTGCCGTATTGGGAGGGGATGTTCAAATCACTCCAGGAACGTTTTCAAACTCTGCACAAACTCAACGCTTCATCGGAGGACTCGGCATCCACCACATCAGTTTGAATCAAACTGTTGGTGAACTTCACCAGACCACTGCATCCGAGGAGTCCCCTGGCTCTCCATACTTGCAAGCCCGCATTTCTGCGGCTCACAAGGTTCAATTTTGTGCAGACTTTCAGCCAAATGTTGCACTTGGGCAAGATGGCAAGATGTGTTCTGACCTGTTTTGTGGTTGCCACTACCTGTGCTGGATTGTATTTGTCAGGTTTTGCTTGAGCACTTGGGCTCACATGAGAGCAAAACAGGCGTTGAAACCTTGGAAACAGCCGGTCTGATTGAGCTGGGACTTTGGATCTATTGCGAAACTCATTTCCTCTGAGAAAGAAAACAAAAAAACAAATAACCAAGTTCGTGTTCTGCATGGTGTGCAGACCTGAGGCCAAGCCACCTGAAGAATGATTGACTTCGCTGCAGTTTTCCACAATAGCCACCAGTGAGTAGTGTTCTCTGTCGCTTTATCATGCAGAGGTGTGTTGTTTTGTTTGGAACCTTTGCAGTGAACTTTTTGGGAATGGTGCGTTTCGGGACTTGCGTAAGCACATGCGGAGCCCCATTTGCCAGTTCATTTTCTGCAGTGTGTTCAGACAAGGAACCCGTGAGGTAACGGTCTTGTGGCGCATGGCCACAGACAGATGCCTGCAGCAAGCTCTGATCGGAGCTTTGCTGGTAAATTGGGTTGGTTTCACGCTCAGTGTCCAGGAACAGGACCGTTAGGCTGAAGCAGCCTGAACCTTTTTCTTTGGTACAGAAAAAAACCATTGTGAAGTTGAACAGAGTGTCTAGTAGCTGCTTGAATTGTGGACTTGGAGGTCGTAGTGTTGATGAGGGATTATATAGACATCCTTTCCTGCGGGGTTTGGCTCATTTTGAACACAGGCAGACATGAGATGCCATACATAGTAAGACAACATTTGCGAGCCCAACCTAACCATGGAAGATAAACGTTGAAAGGTTTTGTATTGGTTTATCACTAGTTCAATAAATGCTAGAATTGATACGTTCAAACGTCTCTCACTGGTTTTTTCAAACATGGAAGAATAGTAGCAGCAAGAATGCGGCAATCACGTGGATGAATCAAGAGAAAAGACAATATCTATAACACACATCTACACACACACAAACAAACGGTGTCACCAGGAGCATGGCTCCCAAAAAGGATTGCGGAGTTGTTTGAGTTTGCTGCTTTCTCTCCAGCATTGCAAAGTTGCAAAATGAAGGACAAGAAAAAGAAAGATGAAACTGCGGTACCAGAGTTGGTCACTGCTTACAAACCACGTGCCTTACTCGGATGATGCATTTGTGATGCATTTGTGTTTCGTGATTCAGCCTGGTGTCATTTGGTCAGAACAGCAAAACCCAGATTCTAATCCCACGCGGTTGAACAGTTGAACAGTTTGCTAACAGCAAAAGCTGGATTAGTCCAAATGAGGCCGAAAAAATTGGAGGCCGTAGGGGAAAGGTCCTAGTTTTCTTGGCTGAGGAGAAGCCCTGCCACCGACAGAGCCACCAGATGCCTCGCAGGCTTGGAATCGAGCTTCGATACATTTCGATACAATCCGTTTCCCTAGTTACCCATCACAGGTGGATGCAGCCTGGAAGTCTATGCGAGACCATTTTGTTGGAAGCTAAATTTTAAAAACAACAGGTATTTTACACGTGTTTTACAGTTTTTGTTTGGTGTTTTTTATATGTTTTCTTTTTGAGTCGGGAATGATGCAGCTCTTTGTGGCCGGGACACTTAGGTGATGCCGCTCCCAGAATGGAACTCTGAAGACGTTGACATCACAGAATGGAAGTGGCTCGTCAGGAATTGACAAACAGATGTATACCATTAGGCCATTCATTTTTTGATGATTCCACATGATAGAATGTCGAGGCCCAATGAGACAGAGAATCAGTTCATTAGCAACCTGCCATGCACCTAGTTTCAGGAACTGTTCTGTGTTGCAACAAGAGTGATTTGAAGTTCTTTTAGCAGTGTTCATCCAGAGGTTCTCTGTGACCAGTATGCCTCGCAGCTTCATGGGCGTTGTCATATCCCAAGGGACGTGTGGAGTTGAGCAAATTGTGAAAAAAACATTAAAAAAAACGACATTCCATGAGATTCAGATCTAGGTTGCTGGTTGGCGGCGTGCTGGTGCGTTTGCAGAACTCTCAGTCCCAATGAAACGGACGAGACAAGATCTAACATGACATTAAGGCCGTAGAAAAGAAATCACATAACTATGATAATTATCGCTAGGCTGGAAAGAGGTTGTCGGACTCAAATGACAATTTGGTCAAACTCCCAAGACATACCGGTTAACCTGGTAGGACTAAACTACGAATGGCACTGAAACTACACTTTGAGCATCCTTGGAGAGTGGTGTTGCACATTCACAACAATTCCCGCTGCTCTCTTCAGGCTGCCGGAAGGGGCGACCTGTTGCCAGAGGCCAGGCCAAATCGATAGAAATATCAGCTAAAGCACTGCCTTTTGAATCGAGACACTGGCTGGCAGGAACCAGAACCTCAGGCCTGAATTCTTTGGGAGTGAGTCTCAGGACTTGAAGGTGACTCTGATGACTCTGAAGATAACATTTGGGAGGTGCAACCACTTCCTGAACTTAAAGAAGAACCCGCCGAGCCTGTGCCGGACTGGGTGTTTCTGGCGATTCTCTCTCTCTCTCTGTATCTCTAAGCAGATTAAGCAGCAGATTAAGCAGCTTGGCTAGTTCAAACGCAACTGATTGGGCCAGATACTCGCACCGCCGTAGCTTCAATTGACAGATAGCCAGTGAATGTGCTCTGTCAGCCGCGAAGGATCCCAAAGCCAAAGCCAAACCAAAGGCCAAAGCTTGAAATTACATGTATATATATATATATAGATGTCAATGTCTCCAAGAGTCTACTGCTTACATGAGATCAGCGTTGTAGCCATGCAATCATCTATTCTGACCATCTAAGACCTAGGATATGTTGATACTGCACGCTTCCACCAAGCCCCTTTCAGGCTGACTCCAAGGCAAAGGCCAAGGCAAAAGGGCAGCCAGCCGAGGCGGTGGTAGCTGCGGGTAGCTGTCACGGCATGCTACAAAGCACTACAGAGCACTAGAGAGATGGCAGATGACGTGTTTTCGGCATGCTCAGCACGTCTTAGCACAGCTTTGGAATAGAAAAGGAGTGGATTCCAGTACGCAATTAAAATTAAATCACGATCTAAACCGTTGCCATCAGATACACTTCAAACTGTCCCTGCCAGGTGTGAACTCGAGATTTAATCCCTTTTGTTGCTGGATGATTTTGGGAGGATTAAATTCTGATTTAATTCTTTGCTAATGACATCTGGAGATTCCAGGGGGAGGTATCCATCTGTGGGGAATTAAATCTTGATTCAATTCCTTTTTATGGTGTGCGGCTTTCATTTTGGGGCATTAAATCTTGATTTAATTCCTTTTCATTGGGAAATAATGTCATTTGGCTACACCCTCGAAGATAATCATGAAGAAGATAGAGAGCAACCAGAGAGTTGAACAGAGCACAGAGGATCCAAGCCAATATAAAAGAATTAACTCAAAATTTAATTCCCTCAAAAGAGATCCTATATCATAACTATTACAGTTAAACTTCGGGCAAGTGCACTTAGAGACACTACATGAAAAGAGTAGAGAAGAGAAAAGGAAAGAATCAGAAGGATGGAGAAGGTAGAGGAGAAACAAAAAAGTTGAAAAGAGAAGGGAAGAATAAATAGCAGCAGAGTAGAGAAGAAGAGGGAAGAAAGAGCAGGAGGTATCAGAGCCAATATGAACAGAATTAACGCAAGATTTAATTCTCTCAAAAGAGATCCTATATCAACTATTACAGTTAAACTTCGGGCAATTGCACTTAAAGAGACTACATGAAAATAGTAGAGGAGAGAAAGGGCGAGAATCAGAAGGATGGAGAAGGTAAAGGAGAAACAAGAGAGTTGAAAAGAGAAGGGACGAATATATACAAGCAGGGTAGAGAAGAAGAGGGAATGAAGAGCAGGAGGTATCAGAGTCAATAAGAACAGAATTAACTCAAGATTTAATTCCCTCAAAAGAGATCCTATATCAACTATTACAGTTAAACTTCGGGCAAGTGCACTTAGAGAGACTACATGAAAAGAGTAGAGAAGAGAAAAGGAAAGAATCAGAAGGATGGAGAAGGTAGAGGAGAAACAAACAAGTTGAAAAGAGAAGGGAAGAATAAATAGCAGCAGAGTAGAGAAGAAGAGGGAAGAAAGAGCAGGAGGTATCAGAGTCAATAAGAACAGAATTAACTCAAGATTTAATTCCCTCAAAAGAGATCCTATATCAACTATTACAGTTAAACTTCGGGCAAGTGCACTTAAAGAGACTACATGAAAAGAGTAGAGAAGAGAAAAGGAAAGAATCAGAAGGATGGAGAAGGTAGAGGAGAAACAAAAAAGTTGAAAAGAGAAGGGAAGAATAAATAGCAGCAGAGTAGAGAAGAAGAGGGAAGAAAGAGCAGGAGGTATCAGAGTCAATAAGAACAGAATTAACTCAAGATTTAATTCCCTCAAAAGAGATCCTATATCATAACTATTACAGTTAAACTTCGGGCAAGTGCACTTAGAGACACTACATGAAAAGAGTAGAGAAGAGAGAAGGAAAGAATCAGAAGGATGAGGAGGGTACAGGAGAAACAAAAGAGTTGAAAAGAGAAGGGAAGCATAAATACAAGCAGAGTACAGAAGAAGAGGGAAGAAAGAGCAGGAGGTATCAGAGTCAATAAGAACAGAATTAACTCAAGATTTAATTCCCTCAAAAGAGATCCTATATCACAACTATTACAGTTAAACTTCGGGCAAGTGCACTTAGAGACGCTACATGAAAAGAGTAGAGAAGAGAAAAGGAAAGAATCAGAAGGATGGAGAAGGTAGAGGAGAAACAAACAAGTTGAAAAGAGAAGGGAAGAATAAATAGCAGCAGAGTAGAGAAGAAGAGGGAAGAAAGAGCAGGAGGTATCAGAGCCAACAAGAACAGAATTAACTCAAGATTTAATTCCTTGAAAAAAGATCCTATATCAAAACTATTACAGTTAAACTTCGGGCAAGTGCACTTAGAGAGACTACATGAAAAGAGTAGAGAAGAGAAAAGGAAAGAATCAGAAGGATGGAGAAGGTAGAGGAGAAACAAACAAGTTGAAAAGAGAAGGGAAGAATAAATAGCAGCAGAGTAGAGAAGAAGAGGGAAGAAAGAGCAGGAGGTATCAGAGTCAATAAGAACAGAATTAACTCAAGATTTAATTCCCTCAAAAGAGATCCTATATCAACTATTACAGTTAAACTTCGGGCAAGTGCACTTAAAGAGACTACATGAAAAGAGTAGAGAAGAGAAAGGGAAAGAATCAGAAGGATGGAGGAGGTAGAGGAGAAACAAAAGAGTTGAGAAGAGAAGGGAAGATTATATACAAGCAGAGAAGGGAAGAAAAGGGAAGAAAGAGCAGGAGGTATCAGAGTCAATAAGAACAGAATTAACTCAAGATTTGATTCCTTCTCAAGAGATCCCATACCAACTGAAAGAGCAGGAGGTATCAGAGCCAGTATGAACAGAATTAACTCAAGATTTAATTCCCTGCCAAGAGATCCTATATCAACTATTACAGTTAAACTTCGGGCAAGTGCACTTAAAGAGAGTACATGAAAAGAGTAGAGAAGAGAAAAGGAAAGAATCAGAAGGATGGAGAAAGTAAAGGAGAAAAAAAAGAGTTGAAAAGAAGAGGGAAGCATAAATACAAGCAGAGTAGAGAAGAAGAGGGAAGAAAGAGCAGGAAGTATCAGAGCCAATATGAACAGAATTAACTCAAGATTTAATTCCCTCAAAAGATATTGTTCTAGGCCTCAAAGGTAGAGAATTAACTCTCGAGTTAAGCCGTGCATCATTGACCTGGAAACGCAAACAGATCATGAAGCATTGAAACACGATTTGATCTTAATTAAATCTTGAATTCATTCCCTTCCCTTTGGAATAGTGATGCCAGATGCGTCACATCAAACAGCCTTTAGTGCAATTGCAGGAAGCACCAGAAAAGCCAACAACAATGCAGCTGGAAGCCTAGACGTTTGAAGTATGCTCCAGTGCATTTGCTGTTTCGAAGCCTATGCAGCTTTTTCTTCCAAAGAATGTTGCACGTGCTTTGCATGCCCAGGCAGTATGCAGACTGCACCTATCAGGGGGAGGTGAAGCCAGTTGTGCAGTTTCTTGAGAATTGTTGAGCATGCAATCTACATGACACATACATGACACATACATGACACATACATGACATATACATGACATATACATGACATATACATGACATATACATGACATATACATGACATATACATGACATATACATGACATCATATATATATATATATGTTAATATATTGATATATTATATAATATATATATATGTGACATATATATATATATAATGACATACGTTACATGTGGATCCATTGTGGATTGGGAGGCAGTCTCCCTTCCTTTACCCTGTGAGGCACGCGTGGTAAGTCAGGCAGAGTTTCGATCGCGTGATTTGTTGCTTGACTTGGACGATGCCACGTGCAGAACTTAGTGACCTAGTGAGCCGAGTGACAGTGATCTTCTCCTTAGAGGATGTTGTGGTCAGCGCTTGCCACCAGCACCTGCCAGCCTGCCAGCACTGCAGCTGCTTGTTTGAGGCCACAGCTGAGTCAAGCAATCGCCTCACAATTTGCTGCGGTTGCTGAACACAGACTGCTTCTTCCTCGTGGTACCTTTCTGTGGGACTGCTACTCAGTTTTGCTTTGAACATTTTGTACTCAAATGCCCGTACTCAGAAATACTCAGAACAATTCTGGCGTTCAGAGTTGCTTCCATAATGATCAGATTTTCTTTATCTTGAATGCAGGAGCTAATCTATCCCCAGGATGAAGAGGGCATTCCGCCTGCCCTCCTCGTTTTGGACCAGCAACGTGTCTTGGGACTCATGTGCTTTGGGCATCTTTTGGCTTGTGTTCCTTGAACTGCCAAACTTGCCAGGCTTTTCAATCCTCATGGGAAGTACATTGTCAAGCTGTTTGTCCAGGGCAAGTGCAGGAAGGCTTGCCCCGCAGCACTTCACAGATCTTCACAGATGGAAAGGCAGATGTGGTGCCCCTATTGGATCCAGGTGCTTGTCGACGATGTTGTCCCGATCGGCTATGCGATGCATGGGAACAACATGTACGTGACCAACTAAGTCAACACATTCTCCTGGTTTGCAGTCAAATGCACACGGCGTCCAACTGCACATGCTTCCACGTTCACAAGACTGGTTGTGGTAATTTTGAACAACTTCGTACAATTTGTATATATTATTTGTATACACCGTGAACACAAGCATGACGCGTGGCATTTGGGAAGTAATCGTCTCTGGGTCCTGCTTGTTTGGGAATCAGTTTTCCCAGGCTACCGGGTAGCAACTACCGCGCCTAGCCGAGTCTAGCCTTTTCCCTTACCAAGGCTCCGCTTTTGCCTACCAGCAATGACAACAACATCATCTGGCCGCAGTTGCTTGCAAAAGCTCTGCCGGGCACTTGAAAGACATTGATTTGCTATGATCTGCTGATTATTTGCTGCCTATTTGCTGACTCTGTTTTTTTTTGTTTTGGCCCCAGGCTTCAGGCTTTTCAAGACGATCTTGGCATGCCGGTTCTGCATGGGCCATAGAAAATCTTGGCTGCGATGGGTTTGCAATCCTTCAAAGCTGCAATGGGATTCTGCTGGTTTACTATCCAGGCCGTGCATTTCTGCTCTGACTGGGTGGATGCCGTACCAGCTGCGCATCTGACATGTGTTATGCTGCTCTTTAGGGGCGTCAATTGAAGGATCCAACAGGATCATTCTTCTCTACCCTGCGATGCGAAGTGTCCTTTGACAGGCCTCTCTCCTGGACCGGCCTGCAAGGGTTAAAGTCCGTCCGAACATTCTGCAGCTTGCAGTTCAGCTCACAGGAGAGGGATTCTGCTTGCGACACAGTGCGTCACTTTTGACTCCTGACATCTCTTGACATCTCTTGACATCTCTTGACATCTCTTGACATCTCTTGACATCTCTTGACATCTCTTGACATCTCTTGACTGAAGCCGAGTCAGAAGCTGTGGAGGGCTCCTGCGCAGGTTGACTTTGAGGCTCGGCAGCGAGCAGAGTTGATTCCAACTATTCCGCAAGCGGAGGCAGGATGCTGCTAGGTTCAATGGATTTCAATGGTACAAGCTGGTCCAAAATGCCTCAGACAATTCCGAAAACTCCAAAATGGCAAATGACATAAAATGACCTAAAATGGACTTTGTTCGTGTGCAGGCTGCTGCTCGCAAGTCCTTGGCTGCCAATCAGCAGGCGGTCTGAAAACGTTCAGATGTGGGTATATATATATATACGTATATAATATAATATATATATACGTATATAATATAATATATATATAATATAATATATATATAATATAATATAATAATATATATATATATACGTAGATAATATTATATAATATATAATATATATATATTATAATATATATATATATATATAATATGTATATATATATACGTATATATAAAAAATATATATATATTATATTATATATATACTAGGTATATATAATATATAATAATATATATATAATATAATATAATGTAATGTAATGTAATATAATATAATATAATATAAAATATAATATAATATAATATAAAATAACATAACATATATAATATAATATAATATAATTATAGTATAATATAATATAATATAATTATAGCATAATATAATATAATATAATTATAGTATAATATAATATAATATAATTATAGTATAATATAATATAATATAATTATAGTATAATATAATATAATATAATATAATATAATATAGTATATATATATATATACATGTATATGTTCTAGCTCTCCAAATCCCTCCTTCAAGGGACGCCGGGGAGAATCCAAGTTTTGAACACAAGGTGCCACCGCTAACCGTGCAAGGACCGCTGCAGCTTGCAAGCGAGTCACAGTTTCTTTGGAGAACAGTGCAGAAATCTCTTGTTTAGCCTTCCTGGAGAGTCAGGAGTGCCGGAACAGAATCTCAAGCTCGGAAGCCAGCCAGTGGAGGTGAGATGAATGGTGTTGCAGATCTGGTAACGATGCGAAGTCCAGCCCACTTCCATGCCAGCTGCTTTGGTTTCTTGGGCTTGTTTTTCTTTGTTTGGCTTGTTGCCTTGAAGGCTGTCTTGGAATTCCTGATTTGTGAGACGGAGGAGGAGCCTCGACAGGCCTGGGAAGCATTGGATTGAAGGTGGGAACACCAATAGACCCGTCAGACGTCAGGTTCGCCTCAAGGCAGATGCCTTTGTACCACAACATGGTGCATGCCCCAGCTTGCCTTTCAAAGTGAAAACAACAGATTTCAGTATGCAGTCCTTCTTCAAACAGACAGTCGCCATGACTACAAAAAGAAGGCACTCCTCGAAAGCAAGTCCGTGATGCAGGCAGTGAGGACTGTCAGCATTTAGAGCAGGTGGTGACCAATCCATTCCCGGGCCTTGCGGGCTGCGCAGGAAGAGGACGCCTCTGCTGATGCGGGCATCAATGCAGTTGGCTCAGATTCAGCATGCTGTGAAGTCTTCAGTTCTAGCTTCAGGAGAGATTCATTGCTTTGAGCGTTTGAGCTTTCTTTGAGCGTTTGAGCTTTTTTTCTAGATTAAGCTTGTCATTCAAAACATACAAGAGGACGAGAGTATGCAAGTTGCGCATGGTCTGATGTCCTAGGAACAGCCTGCTCAAATAGACGAGGAGGCATGATCCTATGATATCCGGAGCCAGTCTGGAATTAGGCATTGCGTACATTGCATACGCACCTTTTAGCGAAATGCATTTGATGTGCTGGGAAGGTTGATGATTCTGATCGCGATGACCTTGACGAGGACGCTCGTGATTTGACTTCAAGGGTGCTGCGTGTGCAGAATCTATGTATGTGGAAGACATTTTTGTTTCTGTTAATCAGGATGATGATCGCTCTCAGAATACTCCCTCCGGAGATGCAGAGGGCACAGAGAAGAGAACAGACCAGGACCGTGAAGTGACATGAAGCTTGATGTCCACATTATAGATATTGTAGTCACTAGTTGTCACTATTGCTTTGCATCTCCTCGCTGGCAGGGCGAATCTGTCAATGGTGAAGGCCAGCACTGGTCTCATCTCACGTGTTTGTTTCTCACTGGAGTGATAGAGTTGCCTCAGTATGATTGTCAGGGCAAGAGGAGCCAAAGCCGGACGAAGAAGAAGAGCAAGTTGAGGACAGCATGTCTAACGCCCAATGCCAGCTCTTTATATTTCTTCAGAATTTCTTTATGTTTGATTCATTTTCGATTCATTTTTGTTTCATTTCACGTTTTTTTCGCTATTTTTTCACGGACTCAACGTTGGATTTTCAACCTGTTGGATCGCCTGAGGCCATGGGTGCCACCTTGGCCGGAGACAAATCCAGCTCCTCTGATGATGCGGAAACCTCAGAACAGAAACCTTTCACGAAACCTTTCACTTCTATATCATCTATATAATCTATATATAATCTTCTATACAGTTGTGGGTTGTGGGATTTGTGGACAGTGAAGTTGTCGCATACCGCATGTTATCGCATGTTCTCAGAGTGCCTTGAAATGCATTGAATTTCTTGGCTCAGTGATCACCCCGTTGCCGGCAGATTGTCCCCAGGAAAAGCTCGATACAAGAATTCCAAGCTCAGCTTGCATCTCAGGAAACAGTGCCTGACAGTACCTTGCAGTTGGATCTTCGGCACCGCCCAACTTGTCTTTGAGTCCTGTAGCCGCTGTAGCCGCTGTAGCCGCTGTAGCCGCTGTAGCCACTGTAGCCGCTACGCTGCCAAGGCTTGAAGGAGGTCAGTGGGTCAGCTTCGATGAGCTCGAAACGAGCGCCAACTGCCTTTGCAGTTTTCGCCTCAGAATCTTCTTGCGGAGTTTGAGACGAGCCACAGCGGATTTGAAGTTGGCCAAGCTGGCAAAAGCTGGCAAGAGCTGGCGAGGTTACATCCCCCCTGGAGATCATGTCTTGAGTGCCTCATTGGATACTTGCTGGGGTGGAGAACGTGCAGAGGCAAATTCCGGAATCGCTTGTTCAGCCACGAAGCTTGAACATTTCATGTGCCCAAACATGCAAAGTTGCAGGAAAACATTAACGAATCAGTATCAGCAACACACAGTTTTAGCCACGCAGTCTGACAGAGTAAGTGGTTTCCAGTCGAAGGCTGCGTGCGAGGCTTTTTGCCTCTTGACAGCGAACATCTTCCGGTTCGATTATACAGCAAGCTAGCTACTGACAACTGCGAGGTTTCGAACAAATGCCGTTCACCTTACAGCTTGATAGATCGACGCCAGCAATATGCGAACACTACCGCGGATCATTGAAATTCGACATGTTTTGTCCAGGTGGACCAGTGAGATGTTGAGCTTCCCTTGTCAACCGCACGAAATGTTGATAATCGCGCTTGCTTGTTCCTGCTCCAGAGTGATCACAACCAAAGAGGTAATCACAAATTGGTCCGCTAACAAGCCAGCTAAAAAGGTAATAGGCAACGTCCTCCTTTCCGAGCGAGGAATGTTGGTCCGTGTAGTTTTGAGGTTTGCAACTTGCACAGAGGACACTGAATGTGCTGTGTAGCATCGATGTAGCAACGAGAGTAAAAACATGCTGTTGCATGCCTGCCCAACTTAGAATGTCACTTCGCAATGTCACGTAGCAATCTTGCTTCACAATAATACTGAACAGTAATACCTAGACCAGACATGTTACTTCAAACTTAAAAATGTTACTTAATGCAGTGTTACTGAAAATGATACTTAGACATGGTGCTTCGCAATGTTACTTCAAATGTCAAGACAGAGGGCATCCCACGACTGTTTTTAAATCCAACGGTTATTTGAGACATTGCTGTTTGAGATGTTACTTAATCATGTCCTTTCAGCTGTCCGTTACAAGTGTCCCTTACAAGTGTTACTTAGGAATGGTGCTGCGCTTTCGCCTAAGAGTAGGTAATTAGATGTGTAGGTATTCTGTAGAAGATTGATGAACCCGCATAACACACCTGCATGCATACAGTCGTGATGTGTAGATGTTTTCACTTGCACCCTGCAAGTATATATTTGCATTTATTTACTGTTGCGGACGTGTAGATGCTTTCACCTGCATCCATACACCTGCATACATAGAGTTAAGATATAGACAATTAATGTGTAGATATGTTCATGTTTGTGCATACACCTGCAGTCAATGATATCTTGGATATGTAGATGTTGTAGCTGAAAATGCAGTAGAAGATGATGATAATGGTGAACAAAAATAACAATGATGACGATGACGACGACGACAATGACGATGATGAGGATGATGAGGATGGGGATGAGGATGAGGAGGAGGAGGAGTAGGAGGAGGAGGAGGATGACGATGGTGGTGGTGGTGGTTTTGGTGATGATGGTGGTGAAGACATGAACATGTTGAAAATGTGTATGTATATATATATATACTACGTATATATTATATATATATATACATAAATATATTATATATATAAATAAATATATATATATATTATATATATATACGTATATGTATATAGATTGGCAGCCGCTCTTTGAAAGGAACCCTTCGCAGGTGCTTTTTGGGAAAACCATAAGACCAGATGAAAAAATCATGGTCTCCGAGTCTCCGAGTCTCCCATTGGACCGAAGGCATACCTTCCTCCGCCGACCAGATTGCTACGCATCCGTTTGGCGCTGCAAGAGCTGGATCAGAGCCCACCGAGGATCCGGATCCGGAAATCAGTTTCAAACAGGTCCAAAGATGTCCAAAGTGAGTCCAAAGTGTCAGAAACTGTGGTTAGATTGGTTAGTCACGGTTAGTCATTTATCACTTTGCCAGTTTGGGTTTGGAATGAGTTGTGGAATGAAATTTGTCACTGTCTCTTTATGAGAGTTCTTCGCACTTTTGGCAGAAAGGATCAGAACGGAATCTGTGGATGCCAAGCCAGTTCCCGGTCCTCCATTGTGTGGACCTTCAGAGATTCTCACAGGATGCAGCTGTGTTGTTGGAGAAACATTGTAGTTTGATCTGCAAGCGATGAAACTGTTGGTGCAAAAATAAACCCCTTCTTGAGGTTCCAAACAGTGTTCTTCTACGAGCCCTTGAGACCAAACTACAGATTGGACGAGGCCCCGGTCAAATCTCTTTGTGAAAGCATATACAATTCGTACGTGCGTCCTGCACGGTACACTTGACTTGGGATCTGGTATTGTGACTTATTTCCACACCAGTCTTTGTAATATGTTCTGCTGCTGCCTTTTCATTGATCCAACTCTCTACCCCACATTCCCATCATTACAGGAGTATTTTCAAAATTCAAGGTTTTGACTTGCGTGACTTTCTTCACACAATGATGGGGGTGTAATCGTGCACGTCCTTCCGTGCTTTCGTTTGCACATGTTTCAACTGCGTGAGTCTCCGCCGCCGTCGACTCCTTGTAGCTGTGTATTGCAGGCCAGACTTACCGGGGCCATTACTGGAAGCATTGCCGACATTTGCCAACACTTCTTATCTTTCCAAAAAATAAAGAAACATGGACAAGTACGAATCAGTATTATATATATATGTATATGTATATGTATGCATATATACATATATCTACATATGTTAATGATATCTCTATATATATATGTATGTATGTATGTATGTATGTAAGTATGTACGTGCTTTGAATTGCCAGCTGTTCAATGGCTGCGAGGCCATCAACAACTGGCGACCAAACAGCTCATCGTCCCGCAAGCAGGCGATTGAACATTCCAAGGCGATGCAGACATGAATCCAGGGCACATGACATATGTGACATATCAGGTGCTGCAGCCTCCCAGCAGTATCAACTTAACAGACTTGGTCTCAGATGTGGAAACTGGGAGAAAATTGGATAGAGATTCAAGAAGTGACTAGTGAGATTGTCACCATTGAAGCTGACTGTCAATCTGAAATCCTGTGACGTTGTTTGAATTGAGGTTGGCGACGGGACACCCAGCAGTGGTTCAGTGTTCCAGTCCATGTTGCTACCACCAGGCCTCACACAGACAGTTTTTGCAAGTCCATAGCATTTAGGATTCTCAGTACCAACCTTAATTTTCTTCGTGTTTTGTTGGCAGGAGAACACTGGTATTTGATAAATGATGATGCTGCAGAACAAGCTGGCTCAGTGCTTTCGATCAGTGTGAGCGACTTACATAATTTCACTGACTGTGGCCAGTGAGCTTCATTTTTCTTGAAGATCTAAACTCATGGTTCTCATCCGTGGTTCACATTTATGCATTTTTACCCTTTTTGATACTTAATGACCTATCTGATCCTATTTGATTGGAACGAAGGTCGAAAGCTTGTTGCTGAATTCGTCAAAGTCAGGAGCTGATTCGTGGCAGTACGTTGCAGAGTGTGAGAGCTGTATATGTAAGGCCCCGTAAGGCTGGTTTTCATGATGTTTTGCTTATCTCTCTCATTTAGTGGGGGAAACAGACTGGACACACTGTTTGAAGCTTCCACGGCACGCAGCGAAGCTGTGTGTGGACATACATTTGCAGAGTCTCTGAGGTCATGCGTCGAATTCTTAGAGCCCGAAAAGGCTTTGGCAAAATATCAAACTTCCGCGCTTTCTGCTGGAGCCTCAAGAGTACTGGACTTTCAGTGTTATTGAATTCCGACAGAATCTGTGATTTGTTGCGCTTTGCACAACACCGATCTGCAGTGTTTGTTCGTACCAGATTTGCAGGTAAAGATTCACACGCTTTTTCTTCGATTATTTTCGATACTGAGATTGGTCCTATACATTATCCTGTCCGCACAGGATACAATGCCAGCGCCTGATTTCACACCTTGTGGCTGTTTGTGGTGGTCACTCTGCTGTCGTTCTTGTTTGCGAAGATGTTGGCAGCGAACATGTTGTGCAGGTGTTGGCCAAGGCCGAAATCCAAATTGCGGAGGCTTTTGCTGGTCACAGATGTTCCATTTCCAAAACATTTCTCACGTTCTTTCACGCTTTTTTCAAGCCGATTCAAGCCTTGGGCAAAAAGTTAATTGCCGCTGCAGAGGAGCATCTGCAATGCTTGCAGCTGCTGTGCCATGTAACAGATCCAGCACTGTGGCCTTATATTCAATTGCTACGAGCCCAGCTTGTCCTTGGAGATGCTGATGTTCTCATCATATCAGAATCATTTCAGAATCATATCCAAGGACTTTTAGTTGTTCTGTTCAATTGTGAAGTTGGTGAAGTCGACACGGGCTGACTGTGCCCGTAAGGTCTTGCCTGCAAGTATCTCAACTGGATCTGACCTGAGTCATATCACAGCTTGAGTGTCTACGCTTGCAGTGGAGGAAGTGGCTGAAGCTACGAAGGAACAAACTCCACCAAAATGATATATATATATAAATAGATATCCACAGTTTTCCTTAGAAAAGCAGACCGACCTATTTGGTAGAAACTTCAATGGAATCCACCATAGTTTCCTCTTGCTGAAGAGGTGTGCCATTTCCAAGGAGGCGTCAGATGAAGACAAAGCACGTTCTGCCAGCTGGTTTGGAGCCTAGAGCTACCAACGAGCTGCCAACTCTAAGACCTTGTGAAGGATTCAGGTGTATTTAGGTTTTGTATGAGAACTCGACTCATCTCGACTCACTTTTATCAATGCAAAGGTCTGTGACGACATTGATGAAATCACCAGTTCTGCGCGTGATGTCTTACGCTCAGACATGAGAGACAGAGATGGTCAGTACAGTACTTCTTAGAGAGCAGGACCAGGCTGGTCACAAATCAAACCACTTTAGGGGAAAACATGGTTTCAGCCAAGGTCTTTGCCGCTTACCGACAAGGTATGTACTGTATGTGAGGAGTTCTTGCTATATATCAAGTAGATTTGTTGGAGAGAAACGAGAATCTAGTGACTCTTGTTGTTTGCTTGGATTCTTATCGAATTCCAAAATTTTGTGCAACGTCTGTCAAAGCGTCAGCTTGAACTTCCGCCAGGCTGCAGGCGCAGCCAAGTGCCCTGCGAGACTTCGAGTGAAAGCAGAGAAAGCTGTATGGAGAAAGCAGAGAAAGCAGGTGAAGGCTGCCTTGAAACTTTGACAGGTATGTCCTAATGCTGGAAGCCAATCTTCCTCAAGAGGCCTTGAATTCCCTTGGTGGTTTCATGTTCATGGATGATTTGGCCATTGTCCGTCGTGTTGCACTTGTTGAGAGGTTGTTCCGAAATCTACCGGAGAACTCTCACTTCAGATGCAGCCTTAGCGTGAATCATGATCCCTTGACCAGTTGGCACAACTGCTGCACTTAATCCAAGTGTGCTTTGCATCCCAAGGCTATTCATACCAGCAGGCAGCAACCCTTTGGAGACGGATTTGGACACAGGCTACCCAATCCATTTCTGGATTTTGTTCGTTTGAGAAAGCACCGGCAGAATCCAGGCATTTACCCGAAGCATTGTTGAGCGAGTGCAAAAAAAATCGAGCTGTGAGTCCTCCTATGTCAGCCTTCTTTTTGTTTGTAAATGAACAGGGTGTATCAGGCACCGTCAGGAACCCTGATTGTGTTTCTGGCACGGAGGTACGGCCGACAAAGATAAAGATGCAACTGAAGACACAACGCAAGAAGAGGCCACGACTGCAATTGTTTACCTTCAGTGGTTTGTTTCAGTAACTCATACGAAATGTATCTACATATATATAATTACCAGTAGTACCGCACAAGGCGGTGGCGGAAGTTTCAGAATAGGAAACCTATAGGAGACGTTGGTTGTTGTGAATCACGGATGGCAGAGCGAATCCACTGATTGACCGAAAAGTGGTTGGAGTTGTGTTTGCTGGGGTGGTTGCAATGGTTGCAGTGGTCACCCCACCCACAACTGCTGGATGTAGTGTGATGTACTGCAACTGTAGTTGTAGTTGTAGCGTAGTGGAGTTGTAGTTGTGGTGTAATGTAATTAGTGTAGTGTAGTTGCAGTCATATAGTTGTAGCTGTAGTTGTTTAGTAGTTGTAGTTGTAGTTGTTGTAGTTGTAGTTGTTGTTGCTGTTGCAGTTGTAGCTGTAGTTGTTGTGTGGTTGCAGTTGTTGTGTAGTGTAGTTGTAGTAGTAGTAGTTGTTGTTGTTGTAGTTGTTGTAGTTGTAGTTGTAGTTGTAGTTGTAGTTGTTGTGTAGTTGTTGTAGTTGTAGTTGTTGTAGTTGTAGTTGTTGTGGTTGTTGTTGTTGTTGTTGTTGTTGTTGTTATTGTTGTTGCTGTTGCTGTTGTCGTCGAAGTTAGGGTAGTTAAGTTAGTGAAGTTAGTTAAGTTAGTCAAGTTAGTTAAGTTAATCAGTGTCTACTTTTTCGACATCGTAACGTCAAAAAGGCTCAAAACCCCTCAGTTTTTTTACACTTTTGACTTCAAAATGTGCTTCGCGCCACAACGGCGTGCACTTTTTCGACACTTTTTCGACATCTGAACCTCCAAAAGTGGTCCGAGACCGTCAGTTTTTAACACTTTTGACTTGGAAATGTGCTTCGCGCCACAACGGCGTGCACTTTTTCAACATCGCAACTTCCAAAAGTGGTCCGAACGTGGTGTGTTTTGTACATTTTGACTTGGAAATCTGCTTCGCGCCACAACGGCGTGCACTTTTTCGACATCGCAACTTCCAAAAGTAGTCCGAACGTGGTGTGTTTTGTACATTTTGACTTGGAAATCTGCTTCGCGCCACAACGGCGTGCACTTTTTCGACATCGCAACTTCCAAAAGCCGTCCGACACTGAGGTGTTTTGTACATTTTGACTTCGAAATGTGCTTCGTGCCACAACGGCGTGCACTTTTTCGACATCGCAACTTCCAAAAGTGGTCCGATCCTCTAGTGTTTTGTCCATTTTGACTTGGAAATGTGCTTCGCGCCACAACGGCGTGCACTTTTTCATGTCTCATCTGGCCAGCTGGCTCCGCACCCGCCGCTTTAGCGAGCCTACTTTTCGACCCTCCGGAGCCACAAATCATTGGAAAAACACAGTGTTTCGCGACTTTCCTACCTTTTCACGCATCTTCATCTTCTTTCTTCTGATCTTGCCCCTTCTGACTCTTCTCACCTCTGCTTTTCAACTGTCCATATTGTCGGAAGTTTCACTTCTAAACTTCCTTCGATAAATAAATGTTCATTAGTCATTTTTGAATCATTTTTTGGCTTCATGATAGCTTTGACTTGATTCGAATTCACAATCGGACCAGGGGCCTCTTCAGCTACATATGCTCACGGTGGATCAAGTGCTGCGATGGCAAGGCGAATGCCACGAGAATGCTGACAGCTTAGCATGACCCGAGCCTGGAACCACAACAGCCGCTTCAATCCTTTGCAAAACAGCAGAGTTTAGCTTCTGATTCTCCAGTAGTTGGACCAGCTATCCGGACAGAATGTTTCTGATTCTTTGGTACCTCTTTCTTCAAGACTCTTCTTTGATGCAAGGTTTCCCATTGGCACCCTGTAGACTTTGACCATATTCTGTTTGCATCAGTGCGTACTTCAGGACAAGGGGCTTGTGCTTTGCGAGCGCATCACAGTACCTCCTGAAACAGGTGGCCCAATTGCGATGAACTTTCCATTTCTATTTGTAGTTTTATTTTTTGTATTTTCTAAATGTGTGACATCATTCCCTGTCAAGCTAGCATTGGTGGACTGTCAGTTGCTGTGAGGCGACGTGACCAGCACACTGAGGGTATCTGTGGATGGTCTACCTCAGGCCATCAGATCTGATCTCCACATTTTCGCTCTGAGCGCAGCAATCCTAAACCATTCCTATATGGCTATGGATCAATACCTATACATACCATTTTTAGTGGGATGAACATCCATTTACCAGCTATTTTGATGTTCACCAGGGGTACAAGGTTCTGACACACTGCCATATACCGATATATACCGGGTTATGATTCAAGGCTAAACGCCTAGATGTTACATCTGCATACATCTGCAATCGATCCATGTGATCCATCAGGCTTTCCTCCGCGCAACTCTGGTTGCTCAGATGCCACCGACTGAGGAAATGCCGTGGCCTCAGATCTTGCAGCATCAGAGGTATCCAAGGCACGGTGTCCAATGGCAAGCGCTGAAAATCCAATCAGATTCAGACGTGGGTATGTTTGCAGACAGTGTGCTTAAAAATCCCATGGTCGATCATGATTTTGCCGAGTAAAATCAGACCATGTTTCGACAAGTTTGGACAATCCAGATTCTGTACAGAGCTATCAGGAGACCTCCGAATCCAGAAGGAGCTCCATTGGAGCCACTGGTAGCAGGAGCTCCAATCAACCCTCGTGACTACAGTGGGCGCAGGAGTGCCATGCGATGCCATGCGTACCGATTTTCTTAGCCACCAGGCATCAAGAATTTGTCAGGTGAAGGACTATGACCATGGATAAAACATCCAAGATTTTAATAAACTTTGAACTTTAAAACACTGTTAAGTCCATTGAGTATCAGGACTGGAACAAAGGGGGGGACATAGGAGCAAAGATGTGAAACCGGCAGTGAAACCGCCCAGAAGATCCTTCTGTGGTGATCCTCTTGTGCAGGAACTGGTTGTCGCGCTGCAAGAAGGTGGCAGAAACCAGTGGGCTGGAGGCAAGATGGCCAATCGATGGGAAACAGAATGGATTTTATTGTGCAGCTGTAGACTTCCAGCATATCGTGCGATTGCAGATTATCTCCTTTCCGCATGTTCTTCTAGCAGAAGCATCGCAGCAAGCTAAGCATTTGCTCAAATCAATCAATGCCAAAGGTGTTTTCAGGTCACCTCATCGCTTTACCACGCAGATGCTTTGTGATGCTAAGGACTTATATCCTGTATGTTCATTTGGATGAATTCAGAGGGCCTGCTGGTCTCGAAGGTCGCATGTTTGAACACATTTTGGCAACAACTCATGTTTATATTGATTGGACCGACCTCATTTGACATGTGCCTGGCAAAGGTGGAACTTGGCTGTTGGAGAGCTTTGGTTCTGGCTCCTTGGAGGTGGCAATCGAGAATGGAACTCTTCAGCACTCCGATCTGCATGACATGCATGGCGGATCATGGCGGCTTGGCAGGTTGGCTCTGATGCCATGGAGCAAGACCTGGAGGCCCCCGCTCAGTTGGCTCGGCAGTGGCAAGCGAGATGAAACTGGGCCGATGGTGTGCCGCAGGAGTTGGTCCGCCGATCATGGGCCGATGGGGGGCCGCAGGCAATTGTCCTTTTGCGCCTCTTTTAGCTTGAGTTTCGCTTTATTCAAGGCTATTGCAAGCTATTGCAAGCTATTGCATGCTATTGCTGTTTATTCGTATGCCTGGTGAAGGTGCAGCACGGAGCAGCAATAGACATACAATTCAACTTCAGACTATAGATGACAAGCAAACAATGCTATAAAATGCTATAAACATCTATAAACTATACAAAGCTGGCATTGGCTTTGGTCACAGGTGCTTACAGGTGCTTTTGGGTGTACGACTTACCACTTACCATCAACATACACTAGGATGGAGATGCACCTCCGCGAAGCGAGACCGCGGCTGCTGCGTGTGAATCTCGGAGAAGTCTTTCTCGTAAGATTTCTGTATGATGTTTCCATATGTTTCCTAAATATTTCCAAATGTTTCCATGCAGTTTTCATTCAGACTTTTCTACCTTTTGCTAGTCTTGATGACTCTTTTGAATCTTTTGGAGGCGGGAGAGCTGGCTCACAGCCCGGTCCAAAGATTCAGAAGCCGAGGTACTTGATGGTGATGTCGTGTAAGCATCCCTTAACTTTGCAATGTTGTATGATGCGACTGCATGAGATGTCAAGTTCTTAAAGACTCAATGTGCACACCCCCTCGTGTGGTCTTTCACAGAGAATCATCAGTGAAAAATCACTCAGAAACGAATGATTTAGGTGCCGCCTACAGTGTAGCACATATTAAAAGGCAGCTGTGATGAGAACAAGATGCATGACAGAGAGACAGAGAGAGGGGGTCGAGAGACAGCGCATTGCACAGGCTGAAGCAGAAAATGAGGCCTCGGGTCCCGGTGTCACCATTCGATCCATTTGATCCGTTGTGAATTTCCATCATTTTCGAGTCATTTTGCCATTTCTGCTACCATTTTTCAGGAGCAGTTGAAGCAGTTAGCAGAGGCTTTGGAACGCACCAAAAAGGCCGATGCCCCGGATGCCCCGGATGCCCCGGATGCCCCGGATGCCCCGCTGCGCTGTGCCGCTGTGCCGCTGTGCCGCTGTGCCTCAGCACTGTCTAGCGTCAGCTTGTGCAGGTGAAGCATCCCAATAGCACCATTGCAAAGTTCTTGTGGTCCACTCAGCAGGGCTTTTTCCAGACTCTCATGATATCACTGAAAGTTGTCCAATTTAGCTTTGATTTAATCGAGCATTTTGCGGTCAAAACAGACTCCCAGGAGTGGCCATGCAGACACTCCAGCTTTGCTCATTCAAGAGGACTGCTGCAAAAAGAAAGTGACTTTGGAGAAGACAGCTCAGACCAAAGAATGCATGATGTTTACTTGGGACAAACACACCTGCCAGGATCCATACATAGTGGCCCCGGACAGGCCCATTGACCTGAACCAAAGAAGGAATCTGGCACATTTCCATACATTTCCATGTGGTCGATCACAGTGGCTGTCAAGGCCAGAATGGAAGCCTTCAGAAGACACAGATGGTTTTGGACCAAGATGCGCTCCTTGTGACACCTTGTGCCACTTGGGGGCTTTGAGGGAGCAGCATTTTGTGATGCAAGGAACTGCAGATGAGACTCGTGCAGAGGACACAGAGGTGCCAATGGAGACATTGGATGAAAATGGATGAAATTGGAACAAGGGCAGAATGATATCATCCCTCTGCATGTTGACATCATGTTGACATCCTTTGGACTTTGGACCTTTGGATATCTTTGGATACTGTGTGGACCTCCTACACCTTGATTTTTTTCGGAGCCAGGCTGCAGTGGCAGTGAAGGCCATGGGAACTCAAGGAGAGAGCGAAGCTCGTGCTGAGGAGATCGAAATTGCGACTGCAAGGCGTGGGACAGAAAACTGCTGGCCATCGGGCCATCAGGGAAGCAACATCGAGGAGGATTTGACAGCGTGTTGCTTTAATATGCTTTAATCATTAGTATATTACTATATATTACTTACATAGTAATACATTAGTCAGATAGTACACAGGGTTTGGAACTTGTTTGTTCACTTACCTGCTAATTTGCTCTTTGCAAGGTGGTCATCTGCACACGAAAGCCTTGAGGCCAGCAGCTTGCAGTTGTGTGGTGCATTTCAGTACACACCAGGAATACAAGTTGAATTACATGCATGCAAGAGTGTATCAAGAACCCTATGTTACATATACTTGACATGCGTTTGCGCACTTATCTGTGTACACACATGATTCTGCACGACTGAGGCGGCAAAAGAGCGCAATGCAAGTCAGATACAGGACTTTCTGCATTTGTACTGTTGCCTGATCTTTCAAGCTGCGCATGGTTTGGAATTACTACCCAAAAAGTCAGCTTTGCAACAGCTGGAATTCAAGGAGTTGAGGCAGTGGCGCGAGGAGCGCAGGGCTGCGCTGGTTTCTCAGACCAGAGTAGTCGAGCACGAAGATCGAAAAGACATGAAAAGACACTATCAGATGCAGTGCCAGATGCGATTTTTGCAAGGCCTGGTGGTGTTGAAGGGACGTCCTTTGCACCAACAAGACGCGAATTGAGGGGTCTTCTTCACTCTCGCAAAGAGCTGAATCTGCGCCCAGTATCATTGCTGCTTCTGTTGGCTGCACTGCAAAGCGCATCACAGGCCGTTTTAAGCCTGACCTAAGGCATGGAAAAGTGTGCAATTCTGAAGGTTGCCGTACTGGATGAGAAGCGCCTGCACCTCAAACACATGTTCTGTGCATTTTTCGCTCACCATTTAGTCACCATTTCACAGATTTCACATGTGTACGTTAACGGTCAAGGCACGGATCCCGAGCCATTGAGAGCTCCTTGGATCAATGGGGATTTTTGAAATCTGACATCTTCAGACGAATTTTGCGTTGCAGATTTAAATTTCATGACCGATTCATGGCCTGGTGTTTGGGGTTTGTGCCGTACACTTTAGGGATCTTTAGGGCACACCAATGCTTTCATTTTTTTTGCCTTCTTTCCCGGGTATTTGTTTGGAGCTCTTGCTTCATGTGGAGCACAACTCACAGGTCGCCCTTTCGGAGGCAGAAGCTGCAGGCTCCAGAGTGACAGCCTCAGCCCTCGACATGGAGAAGCTCCTAGTTGAATTACTTGGGGATGGAGTTGGCATGACTTTCAATGGTTATATATGGTTATATCATGTTATAACCATGGGGTTTTACCCCTCATAAGTTGGGATGTAAGGGCTATAACTATATGGACAACTGAAACTACATATTATCCACTTATTGCGATCTGTCTACACACCTGGAACTTGAAAATGAACGCAAAGGCGAACAACCCTCCAGGGGAACAAAAAAAGAATCAGAATATGAAGAATTTTCTTGCACATGACATCACTACGCGAACATGTTGCTCTATGGAGGCGGAAGTACATGAACTTGGTTAGTAGCAGCTAATGTGAATGGTGTTGCGATACTTGTGTCCACACCTTTAGATGGCATTTTTTTAAACGGTACTTCTTGTCATTTCCTTTATCATTCATGTGCAGGACATCATGCATGCTTGGCAATGATCTGCACATCTGTTGAATGCAACTATAAAATCGATAGACATGATAGACTGTAACAAGCGCAATATGATTGCATCATGATTTTATTTTGTGGGAATCCCTGGCTGTCCCAGTTTCTTGATACTTTGTCGCTTGTTTCCCCGTCTCTTGTGGGCAACTGTTCAAGCTTCGGGATTTTGGCTCTTTGTTAATTTGTCAACATGTTCCAAAAAAAACGCCCTGAACTCACCTACAAGTGTTATTTTGGTCTAGTTTCAACTCACTTGTTGCATCTTCTTGTAGATTTTTTTTGCACCACCCCGTTGAACTTTGAATTGTTGCTGCGGCTGCTGCGGCTTGTCGTTCGCATCAACTTTCAACGCAGTTCCGAACCAGAATCGGGGGTCAAACCTTCTCTCCACTGTCCAAGGACTTGAGTTTGAGAGCCCCAAACACCAACCGAGTTTGAACCTTCTTCGTCCCCCACCAGCCCGAAATCAAAGTGTAGTCTCAAGCTGAACTAGGGACCCGTCGAGAACTGAATTGTTCTGCTTTGACAAAGTGAGACGTGAAGTATGAGAGGCATTGAAAGACCTTTTCACAGTGTTGCTTTTTCACACACCTCAGAACTACGACTTGAAGTTGGTGGAAAGTGCCACAAAGAAGCCTCGAGCTCAAGAGTCATGATGGTCACTTTCAAGAACATAGACTTGCCCTTAGTTGAAATTTCAAAATCTTCACCTTATGGCCTCAAGCCTCGTCTCTGCCCTGTATGTTCTGACGTGAAACGACGTGAAACGACGTGAAACGGGCCACAGACTGAGGTTGCGAGTTCTGGACGCCGCAGTTTCTTTCCAGGAAGCCTTGACGAGTATGGAGAGCAAGGCTGAGGCTGAAACCGCTGCGGTAGCAGCAGCTCCTTGGCAACGAGAATCATTAAAGTCATTCATACATAGTCCAAATATGTCCAAATTATGGTTGGTTACATTAGTTATAAGTTATATTGTACTAAGCTGTATCTAACAATATGTATTGCAGTATATCATTCATGTCCTGTTCTTACCCCATGCTGAAATCCAATTTTTGAATCAGTCTGCTTTGTCGAACCCATCAATGATCGCTTGGTCTCGTGAAAGGGTCGTTGCTGGCTGTGATCCAGGTTGCAGCTGCGGAAGAAGGAAGTGAGAGCTATACGCAGGCCAAAGAAGCCGCAACAACAGCTGAGGAGGAAGCAGCAACTTGGATAGCAAATTTTGATCCCAAACCACTGCGGTTCAAAACTGCATACTTTGCAGACGTACCTGGGACACGACATGCATTACATTGCAGATGGCATCACCTGAGAGATCTGCGAATCTCGTGAACTTGTCATGCGCAGGCATCAGCAGCCAAAGCCCTTGAGGAGTTGCTCGCCGAGTTCAAGGCAAGCCATAGCAAGCGACGGCAAATCAAAGAGACTTAAGCCAAGCCCAAGCTAAGCCAAAGCCAAAGCGAAGCTCTGCTGAGTAATGTATAGCTGCAGATCTCTGACCTGAGACCTGCGACAGGCTAGCATGAAGGAGGCCAGTGAACCTGCCTCAGCCTTCTACATTGTTGTATATGAATCCTCTAAAATCATGTACACATGTAATCACATGTATGTGTCAGCCAATCCCTAGATGCTTTTCTGTGCCTTCAAGCAGTCTCCGAGGCCAATGAGATTCGATTGCCTCCAGAACTTCTGAACGAGGCTGAGCCGAGTGATTTGTTCTGAGCTTCTCCTCATTGCCATCACTTGTCTTCCCTTGTCTTCCCTTGTCCTTCGGAGGAGCCCATGGAAAAGGCCGCAGATATTCTGAAGCAAAGCTCCGCCGAAGCCGCGGAGTGTTCAACTCTTAGCGACTGGAGGTTTACAGTAACTGAACATAACTGAACATATATAACTATATAACTGAACATATCTAAACTCTTGCATGAAGACATCATGAAGACATCATGAAGACATCCGGAAAAGAAAGACCTGTCCATATCTTGTTATCCATTCCAACGGCGTATGCATTGATATGAACTTTGTCATTACATAGGACGAATGTTGTGGTGAGTCTCGGTGGAAATGCGTTTTTTTTGATTTCTTTGGCCCAGGTGTGGAGCCCGATGCTACCTGATGCCTAAAACTGGCATAAGGTCATTCACAATATTGAGCCGAATGTGATTTGGCAATGCGAATTTGGTGTGCAAGTTCGTCGTCTAGTTGTTGTAATGACATTGAGACATACGGGATTGGCATTCTTCATTCTCTGCGTGTAAGTCTTGAGCTTTCACACATTTGTTTCACACGAGAGCCTGGTTTCTGCCCGGTGAAAAACATAGAAATACATAGAAATACAGAAAGTGTCGAAAAGCGTTAACTCAACTCTGAATCAGCAATAGAGATACACCCCTATAATGTGTGAATCTTTGTGATACAAAGACGATAGGTTTTGCGTTTTCTCGTGCCTTTTCGGCTCGAAGTTGGGGTTCGCGCGCATCCGGCATGGCTGATACAAGCCGAGGGCTCCAACCGCTCCAACGGCATGTTGATGGCCCAGGGACTAAGGACAAATCCTCATGGGAAATTGACGAAAGGATACGAGGATTTGATACGGCAGGGACAGGTGCCAAAAGGTCTGAGAAAAGCTTGTGACAAGGTCAGGGCCCCGAGCTCATGAGCTTCGCGCTGCCTGCCCCTCATGGAGCCAGATGACAAGGTAAAATAGGTAAAGGACAGATGCCACTGGTGTATGGATGTGTATGGTGTATCTTAGTATATCATGGTGTATCATAGATCGACTGTAGACATCTGTAGACATCTGTAGACTGTACTGACTGTTTCGGAAGCCAAGGCCATGGGGCCTGATCCCAAGCTTGCTCATGAGGTAGCTCTCACGCCAGCTCCCCAGTTTGCTGAGCTTGCCCACTCTGTCCCCAATGATAGTTTTGTGATGCCGCTTCACGAATCTTTCACTCTTTCACCTCAGCTTCGTGATGCCGCTTCTTTTCTGCATTTTACAAGTTCAATGAGCGGACTATGCCTAAATTGTGTCAGGGGAAGTCAATCTGGGAATTCCAGACACTGGGAGGCAAGGAGAAAATTTCCGGAGGGCGACCTTCTGATCTGTCAAATTCTCTAACTATTTTGATTGGATTTGGCGTGAAGTCGTTGAAGTCGTTGAAGTCGTTGAAGTCGTTGAAATTGAGTGTTTTGGATGCAACATTTGCTGCAGGACAAGCCCAATGCAGGCTACTCCGGGACACCCATGTGGAAAATCAAAGCGCAGCTCCAAGAGCAGCAGGCATGAGCTGTTTGAAACTCATCTTGTGGAACCTGACTTTGTGTCATGGGCGAAAGTTGGATTATATGCCCATAATAGAAAATGACATAGCTACAATATACATCAATATACTAAAATCTCATCTTGGGTCTTGGGTTTTCAAGCCGTGTCTTGTTGCTGACATGATGCCGGAGTTATCATCAGATCCATCACTGATCCCTGCACGGCGTCGCACGACGTTGTGGGAAAGGCAAGCGCGCAGACAGGGCCGCTCAAGGTGCCCGAGGGCTTCAAGCAGGCCAGATGACCTCGACAGATGCCACAGATGTTACAGATACATCGATACATCGATATGTTCAGTTCAGCTGTTTGATGATTCCTGTGATTTACGTTTCAGGTGGAGAAGGGGAAGCCAATGTACTACAATGACAAGCGTCAGGTCTGCTCCCGATTCTTTTGCGTCTTTCTCCAGACATCAACGAAATCCATGTGTTGCAGTTGTGCAACTTGATCGAAGTGAGGTTTATTGGAGTGGGGAAGATGGAAAAACGTATGTATACGACGCAGTCATGGAGAAGTATTCACTGCTCCAGTCTCAGCATTGTCAAACTGAGTAGACCATACATACTGCATGCCAAAGCAAGACTGGAAGCAAAGGCAGTGTCTGCTTGGTTGCGATTGTAATTCAAGAACAGGAGAGAGCGGCCTTTCACTAGATCCCTGAAATAAACAAGCCAGACCAGAACCATTGTTTGACATGAACAATGGGATCGGGATTCATGAGAGAAGGGTAAGGGTGAGTGCAAAAGAAGCTCAAAAATGGATCCGAAACGGTTTGCACTACCACTAGTCACATCTAGTCACTAGTGTAGCGAACCACCCAACCTTGAATGTAAAAAATGTAGAAAGAGACTTCGATGTCTTCCACGCAAAGGCTCTACGATGGAAAAGCGTTCGACATGCGCATTGCTGTTGGCTCTTGCTTTCATGAGAAGGCGCAGCGAAATGATACGAGTTTGAGCTGAGGGTGATGGAGGAAGGATTCAATGTGTCAAAAAATCGTTGAGACTTATGAATTGATTCTTTTCAGCATATATTTTTGCATGTAAGATATCATCAATATCCAGAGATCATGGGATTTCAGCTGTCATGTGTAGGCCTTCCAAGCCCGGCACGTGCTGGTGAAGGACTTGGCCAAAGCAGCACAGGTGCCGAGCTGGGACGCAGACCCAAGGCTATCACTCGGTCAGCATGGAACCCTTCGCAGGCAATGCGCATGTCTGTGGAGCACTTGGACAGGCAAAGCCGCAAAGCATTCAGAATTCTTGGATGAACCGTGACCATATGGTGACCATACCCTCCTGTTAGTGTCATGCCCAACAACTTCTACTGTAGCCACCCATGAATGATGCAGTGCGTTGATGAGCACGGGGGAGTGCGTGCCAGTGCAGGCCCTGTGCGCTATATGCTCTTTATGAGGGTCACCGGGGCAAGCCAGGCTCAGGACGCATTCAAGTGAGTCAATTGAGATCAGCCAAGCTGCTTGTCAAAAATAAAGGTGTTGGTCTAAAATGAAAGAAACACAGGTTAAAAGCACACCCTTGCGGAGGATCTGCCAATGTTTGTGCTGAATTCTGTGCCCTGCTCTCAGATGAATCTGGTTGTATGGAACTATATGGAACTTGAACTTGAAGCAATTGAACAAGCAGATCCCTTGAGCTTCTGGACAATGATTTCGATGGAGGTTAAGCAACTTCATCAGAAGCTCCTTCCGAAGCTCTCAGCCTTCCGTGGCTTTTGGGAGGTGCTTTTTTGGCGAATTTGAAGCATATCATATGTACAACATACATGTATAATTAGTATAATCATATATATATATATATTTTATAAATGTGATTAAATATGTATAGTAGAATACACAGCATAGCCAATAGCATGGTCCAAAACTTGCCTTCAATGGTTTCAGTCACCAAACGACTGGGCTTGTGGACCTCACAGGACGCCAGACTTGAAGTGGCGATGAGAGAAAGCGCATCACTCAGAGCGCTAGCGGGAGCGTGGAGCAGAACCCATTGCCAAACAGACCCATTCAGCTCAGTTCATCCTGCCATGAGGCTTTGAGGAGCTTGATACCGAGTTCATAGAAAAGTACCGTGCTGAGTCGGAGCAGTCAAAGGGGCAGAAGTTTTTTGAAACACCGTATTGACAGAGGACCTATTAGGATATATTAGGATGCTAGATAGACAATGAAGCACTTGCTTGAGATCCCGTCATTTCCGTCCCATGGCTCTATTCAATTCAGAGATTTCGAGGCATCCCGGAACTACTGATGGTTGCTGTGCGACCGTCGCATTAGTCACTGGTGCCCGTGTGGTCTGAATCCTGGAAAGATTCTCATGTTTGCCGCTGTTGCCTATCCAGAGCTCACATGTTCAATAAAAATAAACAACATTTCAATACCAAAGAACATCAAAGAACCATAAGGTCATTGCAACACTGGGAGACGTCGCTGCTGTGGTCCGGAACTCGGAGCATTCGAAGCCAGGCAGCCAGGCTGAAACTGGGTCGGGTTCGGACTTGGACTCAAGTCGATACCGTCGATACCGTCGATACCAGGTCTGCATGCGAAATGGGGAGGCGGAGGAATTTGCGAAGCCCCACGTGCCTCAGCAGATTTCGACCATTTTCCCTGTGGAGCAGGGACGGAAAGGCGCCAGCATTTTGGACAGTGAGGTGGCTCCTGGTTTGGATAGTGACGATGACGATGAGGAGGAGGATGTTCCAAATGGTGGTGGGATCCAGCCAGGACTTCAGACTGGGATCCATGATGGCCATGATGATCCATGTTTATTCCGGAGAAGCCTTTCGATTCCTCATCAGATTCCTTATCAGATTTCTTATGATTTCTCGTTGTGGAAACATGTGCAGGAAATTCAGCTCCAATTCAGTGGACGCGATCGTCCAGACCTTAGGCTTGAGCCTTGAGTGATCTCTGGTGCGACGAAGTGACCAAGGCTTGGAGATTCGGACTTCAAGAAGACCGATAGTGCGCCAAAATTGCTGTCTACGCCCGAAGTGAAGGCGCCTTGGTGCCTTGGTGCCTTGGTGCCTTTTGGGTGCCTTTTTGCAGCTTAGTAGAATCTGTAACAGAATCTTACAGAAGACAATGGATATGATATGTGAAACATGGTGAAGCTATTTTCGCTACATTCAGCTTTGGGCTTTGGGTTCTCCCTTGCCGAAGGTGCTTCATTTGGAGCCAAAGCATTTGGGTATTGCTTTTGTGTCAGATCCTCAGGTTGGCTTGAACAAGCGAGGGAAACTCAGATGGAACGTGATGGAACCAAGGTGTCGAGCCCTTTACAATGCGATTGGCAAAAGTACTGCCGTTTCTACTGTCTCCAAGTGGACTCCTTGGTTGCCTCTCAGGGGAGGTGCTGAATTTTCTCAAATCTTTAGTGCATGTGGTCCCCTCCAATGATGGTCTAGTGAACCATTAATATCGATTAATGATATTTAATGATTAATGAAGCCACAACCAGCCAGCTGGAGCAGTTTGCAATCGATGGAAAGCGGCTGTGAGTTGCTAGGCGCTGTGCGCCGCGTGCGCGAATGGCTGCTGGAGCGCTTGTAGATGCTGCTGTACAGTGGCTGGGCCAGGTGTGGTTGTGCGGTGTGAAAGAGCCTGCAAAAACATGGTGAGAGGATGTGAGAGGTTAAGCCGGTTCCGTTGTTTCCTGCCTAGCCTTTTTCTTGTAGGTGGGAGACCTTGGCCTTGGCTCCATTGTGGTCTTCTTTGATAGGCCCTGACTTCAGAGAAGCCATGAGTAGAGACCGACCTCCTAGCTGGCACATCAAGCTGCCATGGCACATGAGGATAGAGGATGGGCCTGCCCACAAGCGGGCCAGAAAAGAAGATCCCAGCCAGGCGGACGAAACATGACGAAACCAACGCAACTGTCCCGACTGTCCACCAATGCTTTTGTTTTTTCAAGCAATGTTGATGGAGTCGACGCACGTCCAGATTGGACTTCTGCATTTTCTGGAGGTTCGCCTCAGGCACATCTTGCTAAAGCACAGAGAGTGCAAAAGCACCATGGACAAGGTGGGCAAATGTGGGCATTGAAGAATACATGAAAATGCTGCAAAAGTTGAGGTGCGCAACAAACAAGTCAAGAGAAGCCGAGGAGCCACCGTCATCACGTGGTCCGCTGTGGCATACCAGTAGCATGCTTGGCTTTTCAAAAACGATTGATCATTGAATCATTGATGTCTTTTGTGGTTGTTATGAGCTCATGAACAACTATGATAAGTGGACTACTTGAACTCATCATTCTGAAGCTGACAGCTTCAGAATCGTTTCCTTGAAAGGAGAAGCAGAGCGTCTCCTTCGAGCTGTCTTGGAGGAATGTCAAAACGATCCCGGGACGTCAGCACCTTGAACTGCTTCGAAAAGCGTTGAAGCCAAGGGGGCACTACAATACCCAAAGCGATTTGTCGTGTCAGAGATTCCTGCTTCATTCTCGACACTCTCTGGAACACTGTCTGATCTGTCTGTCTTTAAGGAAGATATTCACCCAAAAGTGCAAGGACATGTCAGAGTGCAAGCGGCCCAGCAAACCCTTCAGGAAGCTTTGTGTATGACAAAAGAGACGAAGATCCTGACACCGAGGCCAAAGTTGCCTGAAAGCTGGGGAGCTGGTTGGTGACCTGAGTTGGGAGCTTACGCCACAGAAAGTGGGAGTCCATGGTCCAAAGACGACATTTTTTTGGATCGTTGAATCTTGTCAGAAGATACTTGTGGTTGAGCCCAAGGTTGGGTGAAGCCTGGCAAATATGGTCAATCCTTTGAAGCTTGGTCCAAGATGGTCCAAGATGACCCGAGATTGCAGTGAACATGATCGAAGATGTCCAGCCTGCTGTGGGTGTTCCTACAAGTTGTTTGGTAATAATATATATATATATTATATTATATTTATTTATTTGGTGTATCAGTGCAGATAAATACTTGTTGGCGCGCTTGCGGCATATTCTCTTTGAATTCTTTGAGGATGATGTTGCCTTTGCCTTGTCCGTGGGCCAGCTTAGTGATTTAGTGGGGTGGCTTAGTCTGCTCTTATAAGATACGACGTCTCATTAGGCGTGTAAACAAACCAACTCACTGCTCTACTGTATCAGACTCGTTTTCTTTGTGCTATTCGTTTTCACCAGGTTGACACTGACCAGGGTGTCCACATAATCCTCCGTCTGGCACTGAGATACATGGCATGCTTCACTGCCATGCTCCAGATACGAGAATGCCACTACATAATGCAATTGTTTATTTGATAATTCTCTTCTGTCCTGCATTTACAGCGTTCCAGCACTACACTGCGCATCGCAAGACTTGGGGTGGACATATTTTAAGTTGCACTTAGCTGCTGGTGGCTGCTGGCCTAGTGCACGCAGTGACGCAGGCAGCTTTCATCTCATACAAAAAAAAATCCAGTGATGTCAAGGTTCTGTCAAAAGCAGGCAAGAGTGTCAAGACTTGAGGTTCAGCTTAGTGGACGGTGTCAAGTGATCATAGCTGGCAGATGCAGCCTTACAGAATGAGGATACCTCTCCCTCTAGTTTGGATCACATGCAGTAGATGGTAGATGGGTGCACTAGTTTTTCTCAGGATTTTGAGGCAAGAATAAAGCAGACAAGGGAGTACCCATGGAAAGAGTGAAAGAATATGAAAGAATTGCTCGTTGTACAGTGTAATTTTTAAACAGTTGGTTGCAGTGATCCAAGCGCTGGAACTCAAAACGAGTCCAGAGGGCGTCCGCGATATGCCGCAGCCACGCTATGCCGCGATGGCGCGATGGCAGACTTAGTCGTTCCGTCGTTCCAAAGCACAACGAGGTCTTCTTGGCGAATGACGACAGCTCCACAAGGCGAATCTCTCCGTGTCGACAAAGCTCGCGGCGAAGCGGTCGAAAAAGGTAGCCACTGTGTTACCTTGAGATACCACATGGACGTGTCCATGTGGGATATCATGGGATATCCATAAAACAACATTGATGAGATAGCACCCTGCTTTGGATGAACAAAATGTCCCCATGCCACCATGAGTTTTGAATGCCATGAGATCTATGGCTGAATCTATGTGTGACCTGCAGCTCACCCATTTATTTAGCCATTCGGGCAAATGGATAGACACCACTGCTTTCCAAGTTTGGCACTGCCGTTTGAAGTGTGGCGTCCTCAGTCACTCCATTGCCCCATGTTGGCAGTGTTCCTAATGCTTCGGGATTGCTACAGAGTTCACAACAGGCTCCAGCCACAAAGTCTTGCAGGATAGTCTTGCCTGAGGCTGAGACACGACAGCATTTCTTACAAAGGAATGCCTTCTGTCACAGATGTCACAGTTCACTCCGTTCGTTCCGTGAAATCTACTTCGTTCCGTTCTGTTTAGGTCTCTTCTTTGTCGATTGCGGACCGGCGATGGACAGACATGACAATGGAGACAGTGCGCCTTGTGGTGAAGTTGCTCCATCACTCTTTCGTCACAGGATTTGTCTCCAAATCGTAGACATGCAACCGATGCTTGTCTCATTGATGCAAGGCCTGTCGTGGCATTACCTAGACAGTGTTCAGAAGGACGCAAGCAGGGCTGGTCACAAACTGCTATCAGGATGTATACAACACAAAGGGTACTTGATAATTGTTACTGTAAGCGTTGAATCAATTGTCAGCTTTCGAAGACTCTACGGATTCTATTTCCATCAACGAGGGCCTCCAAAGGAATTCTTTCACACCCGTACTTTTGATGACACCTAGCTCGAGTCGCTCTAAATGTGGGTCTTGTTGTTGCCCATAGCTCGTTTTCTTTGCTTTGCTGCAGGAATTTGGGCCATTTGCCCAAGCCACGATGCGAGAATGGTTTAATCAGGCCAGTCATCCAATTGCTGGCAGACTTTATTTATTTTGGGATTAAAGCTAACCAGGTGACAAGGACCAGAGACTTGCCGAGAATCTTGTAGGTTGCATAACGCAAATTGAGCAACTAGAGAGCACGGTCAACGGGCGCTCGGCCAGGGCTTTTTTCCGAATGGTGAAGAGCTCATGATCAGGCCTAACCGAGAACAGAGCTGGAGCTGAACAACACTTCAGACAAAAATGACCAGGCTACCTCAATGGAAGCATCACTTAGCTTTGAAGATGGTGTGGCCGGATGTCCGAAACTTATTCACTCAGCGTCAAATTTGCTGACCTCCTTCCAACTTGAAACCCCGGCAACTCCGCAAAGCTTTCAATTCTCCAAGGTCTCGCAAGCCTTCATGGGAATTCCCCAGCTGGCTGCTTCTTCAACACTCGCCCAGGTGCATTGAATTTCGGAATCCAGGATTTTCTTCGCAATATTGTGCAATATGCAGCTACAAGGTGTCCTGACTTAAGTCGCAGCTTCCTGTAGCGTTGCTCAGACCCACGATTTGTGCAGGTTTCAGCAGCACGGGATGGCTATGAACAGCAACAACCGACATGTTTGACGTTTGGACCAGGATGTAGCGAATCTCAACTACACCCCAGTACCAACTGTTTAATAGCTGTTTAATAACTGTTTAATCATTCTGCCTGGAGCAAGGCAACTGCTTTTCACCTGAATTCAACGAAATCCAGGTATCCTGCAGCGGATATTCAGACCACCTTTGGAGGTAGCAGGCAAGAGATCCTGGACAACCTGAAAGGTAAGCTCAGGTAGGCAGTTCATGCCGGGATCAACAATAGAGTATCGTTTTATATACATATAAGATTACATATATATATATATATATAATAATATTTAAATCTCAGTTTACTCTAACCTTGCTATGCCCTTTAGAGACTCCCCCGCTTCCAGGTCAGCTGAGGAGCAGCCTTCCTACCTCGGAGAAGCTCTACCAATGGGAGGGTGCCCTTTTTAGTGTCAAAGTACCAGCTGTTTTGTCAGAACACATGCCATGCCACTCTGGAGAATGTATATATATATACTAGTAAGAGGAACTTTCAGTAGCTCTATGCTCCGAATGAAGCGCAGGTTTTGGAATGGCCATGCTGATCCAAGTGCAGCTTGACCCTCAATCCCAGCAAGAGCAGCTGCAGCATTTGTGCAAAGTCAGCCTTGCACGCCAAGGCTGGTCTTAGCAACGGGCTGGTAGGCGGGTCACCAAGTCGATGCTCGCAAGCTTGCAATGCACCCAAACTAAACTGCGCCGTCTCTGACCATCTGCCTTTGCTGGCCTGTTTGCTTGGTCTTACAATGCATTAACTGATCCCACTCGCGAGGTTATCCGTCACATGGAATACCGTCTATTCCGGTCACGACTGAGAGCCCTGCCTTGTCTGCGTGCGGACTGCCAATGTCCAGAGCAGTCCCCAATGAGCTCTTAGACAGAATGCCCCACATGACCCTCGGCTGCAAGACCATGTGACCCGTGGCTTGCACTTCCTCGAGTCGGACTTGCTACATTCTTGCACTCAGGAGTGCGGCGATACCGGCGATACCAAATATAGCAAATCCTGCGATACAAAGCGATTTGGCAGGCAACCAAACAAGCACACCAAATACAGCTTTCCCAGCTTGGGGGACATAAACTTTGCATTCCAAGATTTTGAAAAGCACATCTTGCAGGCATGGGTCATTTGGTAATGCTTGCTTCTCAGTTCAGGGGCTGTTCAGCTTGTGTGCTCACTCTTGTAGCACGTCTCAAGCCCTAAAGCTGAGTTAAAAGATTCGAACAAATTCTAAGATGAGTCGATGTCACTGAAGAAACCTCGCTTCCAACGTTGAGGCCCGGCATGGGTGGCAGCGCGATGCAAGGACTGGGACCACATTGATCATAGACGCAACTGAGGAGCTTTTCTTGGCATGCAAAATTGCATACTCCGTGCTTGGCGTAAATTTGCCGCCTGGAAAGTGCCTTTGCACCCACCAGGGCTTATGTTGGCCGAGAACCAGCAGGCAGAAGCATCTTGGCCAATCTTGGCTGCATGTTTTTTTGGTCATTTTCACAAGTCTTTACACCCATTGTTTGATGCTTCGCATTTTTGTCTTGACCTCCCTGCCGAAGCTAAGGTCTTGGCTCAAAGTGTTGATGGAAGCTTGGATCCTATAAGCACAAGCAGCTAAATTCATAAAGCGAAAAGTGGAAAAGCGATTGGCGATTGGCACGTTTGTACAGTGTTTGAATCGGACTGATTCAGAATCTACAAATTGTGATTGGCAAAGCCTTCAATTCGTCATTCTGTTCGGATTCAGTTTCGCACCAAAGCCGCGCGCTCTGGTGGGCAATGTGTGGTATCAACTTTGTCACTCCACCGAGGCCAATTTGCTGGCTTTGCAGGCATTATGATGCCTGAGCCCAAGTTTCTTGTTTGACCTTCTGTTTTGTTGAAATGGACAAGAACCTGGACCGACAAGATGCTTTTTGGATCTTTTTGGCACGGTAACATCACTCCCAAAACAGTTGGTATGGAATGGTGCGAGTCTTGGTTGTATTGTTGATGGCATGCCCATGTCCGGTTTTTGTCATTTCTCCGTATTGTGTATTGTAATTGACTCTGGCGCTGTCTTTCTTGAATTTCCGTTGAAGTGTGACACATTGCCCACTTTGTCGGGCCAGCGTTCAGGGTCCACGTCTAAACAATCTACTGTAATCAAACGCATCCCTAGGTTTGTGTGGCGATTTGCAATAATCAAATGAATCAGGGAATTGTGCAGTGAGAGAACCCTACTGTAGTGGTAACGGCATGGAGATGCTTGGGTCTATGCGCAAAATTTGAGGGTCACAGTATCTTCTTTTCATTTCTTTTCAAGGTTGCATCCATGACTCATCACGAAACGGTATCATAGAAGGATCTTTTGGGTAATTTGACGTCAGGAACTCTACCCAGGACAATGTGGAAATCTTGTGGCAGGGTATGAGTCAAGAAGAAAAATCCCCAGGTATGATTTTATAAGATTTTAGTGACTCACTGCCTGCATTTGTGTATTCATGGAAAACATGTCTGTAACCATGTTGAAAATATCTATGCTGGGTGCGATCGCACATAGTAATCTCCTCAGTACGAGCGAGGCCCATGCAGCAAGCGCTCAATCAAATGGGAAATTCAAATATGCAGTTCATGCAGATGCAGATGCCTGGCCCGACTCTGAGAGTTGGGGAACAAGGGACTAGCCTTTGCACTCAAAGCAGCGAGGGTGAAGGGACCTAGAGTCCTAGAGAAAAAGAATTGGTGACCCTTTCCGCTCTGCTGGGTGAACAGTTTTTCCAGTTCGTGTTTTCTTTGCTCTCTCTACTCACTTTGATCCTTGATCCAGGACGCAGTCTTCAATGTCTTCAGGGTCATGGGTTCTTGACTCCAAGGTTCCAGACCTGCAGGTCGCTTTCGTGGTAGAATTAAGCGATGACCTCAATCGGTGTGTTCATTTGCTGGATGCAGTTGGAGTGAATTTTAGCAGCTCAGGAAAAAATCCAGCTGCATTTGAGGTCGTTTAATGCAAAGCAAGGCTTTGGCTTCATAGAGAACCCGGAGGCTTATGCTATGTTCGGAAGGCCTGCGTGGACAGCTTCTAGTTCGATAGCGTGACCGCACTAGCACTCAAAAACAACAGTTTCTTGGCGCATCCGAAGACAGCAGCTGTTCCCACTGCCAGGGATGTCTTCTTGCACAAGGCACAGATTGGCAACCTAAAAGTGGGAATGGAGGCGCCGAGCAGAGTTGCAGCAGTTTCTTCTTGCTGGAGAATGTTTGGAAAGTGGTACAGAGTGACTGAGTGGTGACAAGTATGAATAAGACTAATAAGAGCATAAAGATCTCATCATCTGGAGTGCTTTGGCAGGTGACGTACGGTGTGGAGATGAACAAATTCGGCATGCCACAGGCCAGACTTTTCCAGCCAAAACCTTCAGCTGATTTGGGTCCTCAATTGGCCAAGCTGATGCAAGTTTCACTTTTTTCAGGCCCGCGATTTGGCTACTCTTGATGGAAAGCCACCCGGTCCTCCTCCAGCCAGTGTCGCAAAGGCCATCGTGGGAAGTGTTTCCCCTTTATTCCTTTATTTTTGCATGTTTTTACTATCTTTTGGATTCTTTTAGCATGTTCAGAATTGGCATCACTATGAAACTCCATGATCTCCATGAAATATGAGTCGGTATGACAGGGTGGCACGAAGACCAAAGCATCTGGCAAGAGGGTGACCAAGGGCAAGGCCGGGGGTGGAGCTTGCAGACACAGGAAATTGGTCCCCCAAATCTTGAGAGTATTTATATTAGATTCATATTATCATATTGTATTATTACTATTATTATTACTGTTATTATTACTATTATTATTATTATTATATAGATATATATTTAAATTGTATTCATATTGCATTCACATTGTATTTGTATTATATATATATATGTATCACATTATTCATATCACATTTGAACACTGTTTTTAAACATTTATCACTTTCCCACGTTTTCCCATGGTTTCCCCATTAAAATTGCTGCAGCTGGGGGTCCGATCCGTTCGAATCCACAATGAGCCGCCAGGAAGATGGAGATGCAGCTGCTGCACCAGTTGGTGTCAGGAATGCAGCTTCCTTGAATTTGACCAAGGCATCATGAGTCACCACGGATATCAATGGATATCACATGTATATATTCACCCCGCTTCGCGTGGGGTGGCCGCCCACACCGCAGGTTTATTTCGGTCCGTGAGAGGGGCTAAGGGTGGTTTTCCCCCGTGGGGGCTCTTCAAGCTAAGAAGTTTCAATAAGAAATCCTTCCAAAACATTGTTTTTGACAGTGTTTTTCCAATGTTTCCAGTCAAACAGACGGTAATTTACACGTTTTTTGCCATAAAGGCAGTAAATCCTTCCAAAACATTGCTTTTGACAGTGTTTTTGTAATGTTTCCAGTCAAGCATACGGTAATTTACACGTTTTTTGCTATAACGTCAGTCCAAAACACTTGTTTTTGCAGTGTTTTCAATGCTCTGGCATCCAAAAACCCTGCAAAATCTTGCTATGTACAATGTTTTTTTCATTTTTGGCCGTTTTTCCATTGCCGGAAAGCTACCAAAATGACCCAAAATTCCATTTCAATACCCTCTTGCGCTCAGACACCCAAAAATCCTCGAAAAATGTCGAAAACACCACCGTATTCTGGTCTCGGTGCGAAACCGTTTTTGGGGTCTGGTCTCGGTGCGAAACCGTTTTTGGGCCCCCCCCCCCCAGCTAAAGCTGATATAGCGACTGCTATATTAACAAATGTCATTGAGCATTTAGTGTTGCTGTTGCCCCCCAATAAGCACGCCTTCACCGCCAAAGCGGTGTGGGCGGATTTACATACATCCATGCATGCCTGCGTACGTACGTACGTACGTACATAGATAGATAGATAGATAGATAGACAGACAGACAGACAGACACATACATACACATCAATACATCATGGCCATCAAGGATCTATGACCGATGATCCATGATTTTGCATTCGATTTTGCTGTTTTTAGGTGTGTGGCTGAGCAAGCTTTGTCTTTACACATCACTAAAGCGAAGCAAACAGCGAAACATGGCCCACAGGTCCCAGTTGTGCCGCAAGATGCTGGAGTTCCTTTGCATCTTGGTTGAAACACTGAAAAACTCAAAAACCACAGAGATAGTGGTCTCATCATTACCCTCTAGTCAAACAGCAAGGAATGTCACAAGCACGCAATTCTTCCCGTAGTCATTCTTTATTCAAAGCCAATTTTATGAAAACTGCACGTGGAACCAAAAACTGAAAGGAACTGACGCAGTGTGCATCTTGCTCACCCTGCCCATGTTCGGGCCACAGGCTTAGGTTCTCGTGGCATATCCTGCATCATATGCATGTGATCCATTTGAACCAATCAGTGTGGTTTCTCAGACCAGGCCTTGGCCCGACACCAGGACCTTTTGGCAGTTTCCCTGACCTTTTTGGATGATTTTTGTGATTTCCTGAATTTTGAAACAATTTTTGGGAACAGAGGGCCAAAAAAGGGCATTTTGTGGTGTGAAAGTTCCAGGCTTCCAGTGGATAATCTTCATGCAAAGATGTTCAAAGATTCTATTTTTTTTCAAGGAGTTGGTGAAGGGAAGAGTAGTTCGGAGCGGCCTTTCTCTCTTTTCATGTCGAAATAGACAACTTCTTTTGGGGTCGGACAAACTTTGTTTCTGACATTCAAATCCAATGCTTCTGAAAATGGGGAGAGGAAGGACGTTCAATGTAGTGCCTGCACCTGTTCATATCTTGAGTTACCTTGCCTCTGCAAAGAGCGGAGCATTGTCTGAAACTTGGCGCATGCCAACAATAGGAACATTTAGCTGCCAAGGTGCTGGGAGGCAGCCCTGCATTCCAAAGTCTTTTGCTGTGGCCATTGAATAACGAATGCCAACATTCAAACGGTCGCAAGACAAAATAATGAATGCAGGCCAAGACATGGGATGTGGTGAATACAGGTAGGGATTTAGCGTATGGACATGGCTAACGGTCATTTTCAGGGTATACAATGCATTTCATAATATTTCATATATCATTCACACATATTGTGCCGCTTTGCTGGAAAAGTCAGCCTGCCGGCAAGCCCGCTTTGCAGAAGCATTGGAAGTTAAAAGAACTGCGCACGAATTGACCTGGCTTTGAGCCACCGGGCCGGGAACGACACACATGTTGCGCTGATGGTCAGTCTTGGTAGGACCGGACAGTCTGGTGACAGTGGTGTTCCCTCAGCTGTGACAGCTCAGACTTCTGAGTTGCAGTTTCAGGTCAGTTTATGCTAGGCTCCCAGTGATCCCATTCTGCTCAAAGCAAGATAGAGAAAACCTGTGACTAGCAATAGCACTTTTATGCTATAAATCAATATAAATCACACAATCAATCGTATTTTGAATCTGATTTCTTTGAATTTAGCTGACGAAAGTGAGGTGAAGTGAGTCGAGAGCTGACGCTGACAGTGTAATGGGTCCAGGCCTTGGCAAAATACAACCAACAGCTCTGTGGCGGAGCCGCTTTAAGCCACTGGTAAGCACTGCTAGTCGCTGCTCGTCGACCAAGGAAGCAGCCTATCGGGTGAGATTGAAGAGACAGAGCAGAAGGGCTGTGTGAAAGCCACAGAGACGATGTGTGATGTGATAGTGAAGATTTTGCACATGACTCGACAGTATAGGTTGGTCTGAAAATGGGTCACCCCTAATGGATTCTCAACATTTTCTCCTTGAAATGGTAATTTTGGTGTATCCCTGTTTTCAGACACACCTGTACATTGGAGAAGTTCTCTTTACAATTTAATAGGTTGTAGGTCTGTGTTTCAACGATTCGCTCACAGGAAGAGTTGCAAACTTCAGCCCCCCCTGCGGATTGTGCTCAGCAACTTGCCCAGCGCATCCCGCAAGGGAACAACATGATGTGCTGCAGGGTCCCAAAGTAGAAACGCTCAGAAAAGCTACTCCCTACCATCTAATTGCGATAATGGTGATTCACTTCTCCATCTCTTTCTTGGGATCTCTGGCATGGGAAATCTGACAGTGCCCCTCCCGCTTTGGCCCTGTGCTGAGGTCGTCTTGCCCTGCTGCTGGTGATGGCAAGGCTGGGACTCCTTTTGGGTTTAAGGCTTAAGGACAGCCACGAAAGTTAGGGTTCCATGTTCCTTCAAGATGTGAAGGAATTTTGAAAGAAAACATGCTGAATCGAGTTTAAATTATATAATCTGAATCTGAAGTGCAAGTAAGTTATAAGTCATACTTTAATTGCAATTATGCAGAGGATACTGACTACTGACCTGAGTCTCAGTCCAGGGGCCCCCACATTAGCAGAATAGGATGTCTTCCACTATGGTCTGTGGGAGGGTCTGTCTGCGTGGTCGGCAGCAACCTGCTAACGTATATACCACGTACATATTGTATGAGTAGATGTAGATGTACATGTGACATCCATCACAGCAAGATGATATCTTGACCTCTTCAGTCTTGGCTTCAGGCTTTGCAGACTGCAACTGTTGATGTGGTGTCGGTGCCCACTGTAGACAGTCCAGACTCCAAGGCCGACTGGGAACACGGGTTGAAAACAAGTGTGCGAAGGTTCTGGAACAATGGGTGTGTCTGAAAATGGGCTAAGGCTATATCCCTCACATATCCCTGAAATCGTGTACATGTATGTATATATATAATACATATATGGTATATCACACCATTTTAGGGATGATGATGAATCAATGATAAGCAATGGGTTGGTATATCCCCATTTTCCTGCCTTGGCGAGGCCCAGCTGCAGCCAGGGACAGTGGAGACACCATCAGATACTCCTGTTCCTGCAGAGCCCGAAGAGGAAGCCGCACCAGACTCACAAGCTATGGCCTTAGTGGCCTTAGTGGCCTTAGTGACCTTAGTGGCCTTGGTGGCCTTGGTGGCCTTAGTACCTGCACCATTGCACCTGCATTCAGGCAATGCTTTTAATTTTGGTTGTGCCACGGCATCACTGCATCACTGCATCCAGAGTGTCACTTGGCCCATACCCCGTATGCCCCATGGGCGCTGTAGGCCCAGCCCTTTGGTTTTCAGGTGGGTCCTGACCGAGATGGAGCTCGCTCGCCACAGGATGCTCGACCACAGCGTGAACTTCCCCCTGAATCGGAGACTGCAGACCTGGATGGACGGCAGGTGGGGCGAGCATATATATATATATATGCGTATATATATATGATTATATGATATACTATAGATGGACACAGATGAATATGGTCAATATGGTGGAATCATGTGGAATCTGTTTAAGATTTTGTGTGGAACAATTGCCAGGTACCTGGTCAGCTTCAGAACTCCGAGGCAACGAAGTCGATGCCATGAACCGATCAGCACAGCATTTTGGAGGTCTAATCGTGCAACCTGTAGGCCAACACCAAGCGAACCCTTGAGCAGCAGATGTCGTCAGCTCGACAAATTAACTGTATTGCAGTTGGAAGATGGTCCAAAGAGTTTGGCGCACATCAGATAGGGCACATGGACCCTTGCCTTGTGCATGGTAGCAATATCTACTTCATCATTTCATCAAATTTCATCCATACATTTAATGTCCTATGTTTACTTTTACATGAAGCGACGCATTTCAAGCTTGCCAGGTTGAAGCCTGGTGATGACGAACGTACGGAGATTTCCAAGAAGATTTCGTGGATTCTTCGTCATGGGGCAAAGAAAGTGGGGGAGCTTGGCAGAGTCGCAGAGGAGTTGTGCAGTTGTGCAGTTGTGCATGTTTTTTCCTTTTTTTTTTTTCGGGACTTGGGTTTGCGTGACTTTGCGGTCACCTCCATTTTGTGCATTTGATGCTCAAGATTTGTGGAGCTGTATGGCCAGGAATCTTTACATTTCATCACACAATCCAGCATAGCAGCGAGAGAGAGAGAGGGAGCCAGCCATTCGGCACTGTATGGACTGTCTCGATGTTGTTCACAGCGCTTTTTGCTTGTGTTAGATAGGATCTGTGCATAAGTCTAAGTTCCTCAGACTTTCTTCCCTATTGTCAAAGCCTGAGACAATGTCTCACGGGGATCTTTCCCCTTTAGCTGCTGCCCATTCTCGGCGGCCACACCTAACACCTGCCAGCTTGCTACCAGCGACTTGGCTTTGCTGCAAGCAGTTTTTCAAAGCAGTAGTAGCAGGTCTCGGCGGTGGCTGAACCCTGTCATAGCGAAACCAAGCGAAACTGTGTGTGTGACTTGTTGATCTTGGCTCAGGCTGCTGAAACCAGCGATGCATCGAGGGCATCACCGTTGTCTAGGGCACACCTGCATCGGGAGAAGCAATGGAGTTTCCTGACTTTGACGAAAGCAACGAAAGCTACCGATCTCTGTGGAAAGTCACAACATGTCACAACATTTGTCAAGAATCCTTTGGGCAGGAGCATCGCACTCCAACTCATTCAACGTTAGGAAGCAAGGATTCAGCCATGCTTTCAGGACTGGAGACATTAAAGTTTTAAAGTCACATCGTCGCTTTTGCATTGCCTTGGAGACATTCTT